TGGTACATAAAATTTTACCTTCCCTTAATTTTTTTTAATGACTCTTCTTAAAATCCTGTTAGCTTTATCCACATAAAAAGCACCTTTTTTTTTAACTTTAAGGGATGGTTTTCACTCATTTCTCTTTGATATCTCTTTTAGTGAAAGAATAATTTGATGTCTTCTTGTCCTGATCCTGACAGCCCATCAACTAAATTTTCTGCCAACGGAATTTCCCTTGTCACCTCCTAAATTTAAGATAGGAAAACATTTTGGTTCCCTTTCTAGGTATGACCTGTGCCCAAACTCAGTAGGAAGCAGCTATAAGAAGATAAACTGTTGTCCTTCTGTACTCCTTTTAAGATGAAAAGGGACCAGAGTTGTCTGAGGGAAAATGAGGCAGGACAGATAGATGAGGAGTCAGGGAAATTATATTATTTTAATAAGTATTTGAAGGATCATACTCAGACATTGGAATGAGGAAGTAAAACTGAAAAACCAGAGCATCTAGCCTTCTTCCACGGTGAGAACCAAAACACCAATCAAAGATCAGAATGAAGTCAAAGGTATGTCACCAGGATATGCTTATCTTGAACTTGGATTAAAGGAGAGAATGGGGTAGAGGTGAGACAGAGACTTCCTTGGCTGTTCTCTGGCTCCACTCCCAGAATCTGCCATCCAGAAGTCCCACCCTATGTCTAGCTCTCCAGGGTAGGTCTCCCTTTGCTATCTGTGATGACTCTTCAGCCCCAGATGGTAAGCCTGCAAGGAAAAGGGCAGGGTACTCTGAATGACCAGCTACATGTCATTAAAAACACACTGCTATACCAGCCCCTCCCTGGGTTCCATCCTTCTTGCCCTGGGAAGGTCGTGTTGACTTAGTGGGGTCAGATGGTCAGTCCTACAGGGATCAGGCACTAGGGCTCAGGGGTAATTCAAGGGACTTTAGGTTAAGAGGATTCTGTCCTGGAAGAGAGGGGCCTAAAGAGAGAAGAAATCACTTATAAAGCACCCAAGTAGCACCCGAAGCCTAAATTCCAGAAGGATGAGCTAGTGCTGTGCTTTCATGGGCCTCTTTTTTATGAAGCAAAGTGTGTAAAAGCTACATAAAAGACAAACAGGTGAAATACTTTGTTATTTTTATTTATTTATTTGCAGTACTGGGGCTTGAACTCAGGACCTCAAGCTTGTTAGGCAGGTGCTCTACCAGTTGAGCCACTCTACCAGCCCAGTGAAATACTTTATTCATTACAGGGGTTGAAATAAAAATTAGGATGAATGGGTTCCAGAGAGCAGAATACTGAAAGATTTGGACACCAATCTATAGAAAATAGCAAGAACTTCAAAAGGCCAGTCAGAAGCAATATGCAGAGGGGAAGAAGAGAGAGGCTGCTCCAGGAAAGAAGGTATCTGCCTACAATAGAAAAGTGTAGAAGTGAAAACAAAAAGGAACAAACAAGCTGGGGCTGGTGGCTTACACCTTTAATCCTAGCTGCTCAGGAAGCAGAGATAAGGAGATGGAGGTTCAAGGCCAGTCTGGGCAAACAGTTTACAAGACCCTATCTCGAAAATACTTACCACAAAACAGAGCTGATGGAGTGGGAAGAAAGAAAGGTGGGAAGGAAGAGGGGAGAGAGGGGAAAAGGAGGAAGGGAGGGAGGAAGGAAAGAAAGAAAGAAGGAAGGAGGGGAAAGGAAGGATGGAGGGAAGAATGAAGGAAGGAAAGAAAGAAAAGGAAATGAAAGAAAGAAGAATGAAGGAGGGGAGAGGGAGAGAGGAAGAAAAAAGAAAGAAGGAAGAAAAGAAAGAGAGAAGGAAAGAAAGAAGGAAGGAAAAAAGGAAGGAAGGAAAGATAGGAGAGAGAAAGAAGGAAGGAAGGGGAAGGAAGGAAAGGACAGGAGACAAAAGAAAAGAAGGAAGGAAAAAAGGGAAGAAAGAGAGAGAAAGACAGAAAGAAGGAAGGAAGGAAGAGCAAACACCTGGCAGTGGAGATGATGGCAGTACCAGTGAGATGTTCAGCCTCCTCTGAAGAAAAGGATCCAGATAGATTGTAGTGTTGAAAATGAAGAAACATTGATGAGCAGAATTGAAGTAAAGATTCCTGGAAGAGCTAAAACCATGGCTTGTTGATGACCGGGACTTGCTTACCAGACAAAAAACATTCTTTTATTTTCCTGCCAAGAAGAATGTGGATTCTGTTCTAGAGAATTATATGAATTATAAGAAATCTCCAAGAAACACAGATAGTAAAGGAGAATGCAGTTAATTAAGTTGTAGCAGGGACTCAAACTTCAATGTAATTTTGGGCACTCAGCCACTCTAAAAATTTGAGAGACCAAAATACAGTATGCTGAAATTATTGCACATCCTGGACACACCCATGTCCCAGGCATATGGAGCACCACATCTACTGTGATTATTGTACAAATTGGAGTGTATATGTTGGCCTATACACTGCTGGATGAGAAGAGCCTTGCTTTGTTACTGAATTTTCTTCATGATTTTCTCAAATACTGGTGAAGAATTCTGCAACTTTGTTTAGTGCCAGTGATGACAAGCCTCTTTCTGAGCACGATGGGAAGGCAGTGCGAGGAGCTCTCACTCACTTGTGTTTGGATTCCTGCAAACACATTTTTGTTCTTAGTCATTCCGTTACACAAATAATGCACTTTGAAGATGCTAGTGTACAACAGATGTTTGTTTAGTTTGATTTTAAACAGAGAAAATAAAAGGAATTACTCCTTTTTTCTTTTCATTTCAAAGTTGGTGACAGACAACAGAGAGACATGCTGTGGAGTGTTTTATTGCATAGTCGACAAAGCTGCTTTTGAATGCTGGTGGTCTATTTCTTTGGCACTATGCATTTTTATAATCTGTTAGTTCTGTATGACAAAATACTGATTCCTAGTGCCAATGGTTCGATTCCATGTATATAACTGAACACACCTATCCATTTGTGCTTTTTTAATATGCTTAAAGTAAAGAGCCATCCTTTGCAAGTGATCCATGTTGTCCCTTAGACATTTTACCTTGGCTTAAATTGTTAAAGAATGGTGGCTTGCTTTGTGGTTTTTATATTTGTGTGTGGTGCATGTTTTAACATGATAGGCACAATGCATTGTGTAGCTAAAGTTTTCTGGAAAAGTCAATATTTTAGGAATTGTTTTTCAGATCTTCAATAAATTTTTTCTTGAGAGAGAGAGAGAGAGAGAGAAAGAAAGAGAAATCACAGCCATGGCATCACTGTGGGGGAGGAAAGGAACAATTGTCCTGGGTGGTCTACGGCCATAGTGCCCAGGAGTTCTGAGGACCCAAAGTCTAGAACTTCCCACAGGACCTATATAGCTTTCATCCTTCCTTAATTTCTTACTTGCCCATTGGACTGGCTCTGTTTCTGGAAGAGGGAATCTGTAGGTTCAGGGTCCATCTTCAGCTCCAACGCACCCTTCTTCAAAAAGTTTTGAGAAGGGTCTGGCAAACTAAAGATGGACAGCAGGATGGGTGAGGGAAAAACAAGCACAGCAAAACAGTAATCCAGTAGTGTATGTGTGGAGGTAATATAGACATTCATTCTATAATTCTTTAAACTTTATGTTTGAGTTTTTCTTAATAAAATATCAGCAAAGGGAGAGAAAAAATTGTCAGGTGAACAGTAAGCACTGGTCAGTATAAGATGTTGAGAGTATATTCCCTTTCTGGGAGTATCTGTATTTCAAATGCCTGCAGAAGGCAACATTTATCCTGACAGATGGCAAATTTCAGGTGAGAGCACTTACAGACCACTGAGGGGAGGGACAACTGTCCATGAACTCCTTAGATCACACCCTGAGTTTACACTAGATACTTTGCCCACCCAAAATTGCTGGCCCTTTGGTTGGTGACTTTTTCAAGTTTATTCTGTCCTTCCTGAGATTTGGCACTTAGCCCAGAGTGGACTCCACCTTGCCACCTGTAACCCTTGACAGGAGAGGCAGGATAAATTTCTATCCCTTACCTGATCCTAAGAGATTGTGTTTGCTCAGGAGGTAAGGTTCACATGAAAAAGAGCAAGAGGAGGGCTTGGATCTGGTATAAAAGAGCTGAACATTTCTGGGGGATTAACTTGCATCTGAACCCTGCAAGTGAGAGGTGAGCTGGGGGATTCAAATCTGAGCTGGAGAAGAGGGTTCTGAATTGAGTGACGGGGGCGGGGGGAAGGGTTAAGTGTTAGTCAAGTGGGACATCTGGATCTGAGCTAGTCTTTGGTACAAATATGTCTGGTATTAGCTGGAGGAATGGGGAGACACAAGATGTTGGGGGAATGAAAATGGCCAGGTTTGCATTAGTGGAGAAAGGATTATGACAAATAGACCAGGCACCTGGGACCTAATGTCTTGAGCTCATCCTAGCTCCTTCTGCAATTTCTCAACCTATCCTAGCTCCACCAGAACTGCTTGGACACAGTCTATGTCACCGACAGAATGTTGGCACAGTCTATTTTATCATTGTCTTCACTGCCCAGGTGACAAAGAGACACCTCTAAAATGCACCTTTCCTTTTGGTTTGAAAGCAGAGTGAGGGCAGCCATGCTCCAGATGCTTCATAGACCAAGCTAGTTTACCTCAGGCCGAAGTCAGCTAGGTCGCTTAGATGCCTCATTTGGTAAACTCAACTGCTTTCGGGATGTCCTCCACTTCATCTTCAGAAAACTCTCCTGATTTGTGCCAGGAGGAAATGGGGCTTGACTCTGTCTAATTTGGACAGAGTTAGGATTGGTCTTTCAGTTTGGGAGGGAAGAAGAGGACTGGCTACAGCCAGACCAGGGAAAGTCAGAGGAATTAAGGATGCAGAAGATAGTATCTAGAAGAAACAGGACTATTAATAAACCATCTTCTTTAAGCTCAGAACTAGGTCTGCTACATCAGAGTTGAAGGACTGAAAAGTCCATGTCTCATCTGCAGGGCAGGGCTGCCTGGGTAAATGAAGTCCAGAGGAAATGGGGAAACCCTCATTTTCTCCTTTCTTCCCACTCCAGCTCCAGAATGTTGACCATTGCTCTCCTAGCCCTTCTTTGTGCCTCAGCCTCTGCCAATGCCAGTAAGTGAGATGCCATAACCCTGTCAATGGGGTCCTGGGAAGGCAGTCCTTTGCACTGCTGTTGGTTAAGGTTTTGAGACACTTGCTTAGGATAGTGGGAACCAAGTGGTGGGAAGAATGGGGGTAGTGGGGAGCACCTGAACTCCCAAGAAACTTCTCCCTCCAATTCCTTCTTTCCCCTTCCAGTTCAGGCCAGATCTTCCTCCTATAATGGAGAATATGGAGGCAGTGGAGGAGAGCGATTCTCCCATTCTGGCAACCAACTGGAAGGTCCCATCACTGCCATCCGTGTCCGAGTCAACAGTTACTACATTGTAGGGTAAGACTGAGTTTCTGTGGTTTGCAGATCCTCTAGGAGCTTACTAAATTGGGAAGATCTTGTCTATGGCCATACCACCCAAACGCGCCCAACCTCATCTAAATTAGGAAGTTCTCATTCACTTTGGATCAAATGATAAATGTTGTTAGAGGACCTGGATTCTAGATTTATGCTGTTAGAGTTAGGTAAGAGTTAGCTCCCCAACACACCCAACCTGGGCAAACCATAGAAACATAAACTCTCAGGGGCCTGAATTAAACTTTCTTTGCAATATTCTTGCCAGGCAACCTCCATCTTTGCTTGGTGTCTCTCCTGAGATATTCCAATTTCATGCATATAGTTGAAAATTCTATCATATGCAGAGCCAAAATGTGTTTCCTTCTGCTCTGAGTTCTGCATCCTGAGATAACACTAAGTCTTTTCTCTCACATGGGAGACTCAGATGTTTGAAAATTCCTTTGCTTCTGGGTCACTCTGAATAACTTGTTTTCCCTCCTGAGCCTGTTGCTGGCAAAATGAGGAGTTGAAGTACCCTGCATGATCTTCTAGTGCTCACCCAGCCTTCATATCCTGTGGAACTAGCAGGGAACTTGTCATCTCTATAATCAGTTTGAAAGTCTCAGCATGTAGGCCAAGAGGTCCTGAATTTTTTTTAACTGTCTCCTTTCCTTCCCTTCCTCACCCCTCCCCAGTCTCCAGGTACGCTATGGCAAGGAGTGGAGTAACTATGTGGGTGGCAAGCTGGGAGACCTGGAGGAAATCTTTCTGCACCCTGGGGAATCAGTGATCCAGGTGTCCGGCAAGTACAAGAACTATCTGAGGAAGCTGGTCTTTGTGACGGACCAGGGCCGCTACATGTCTTTTGGGAAAGACACAGGCACGAGTTTCAATGGCGCCCCCTTGCACCCCAGTACTGTGCTCCGATTCATCAGTGGCCGAGCTAATTTAATTGGCATCAATGCCATTGGCCTGCACTGGGACTACTACCCTAGTCACTGCAGCAGCTGCTAAGCTCTGGCCTCCTCCTTGGCAGGGCACTGTAGTGCACATGAGAACTCCCTTATCACTAACCCCCATGCAGATGGTTTAATAAAAGGACATGGCTGAAGCTGGTGTGTATGTGGTGTCTGCAGCTGGGATCTACTTCCTCTAATTCTGGCAGAAATGTGCAAATCTCATTTCTGGCTATCTGTTGGATATTAATCTGGGAAAAGTGGGAGGAGGAGGGAAAGAAGTATGAGAATCCTGGGCTTTTCTTTAATCTTTCTTTATAACATATATTGGTGGTACTGGAGTTTGAACTCAGGTCCTCTCACTTGCTAGGCAAGCGCTCTATCACTTGAGCCACTCTACCAACACTGGGTTTTTTTGTGTGTGTGTTGGGTATTTCTGAGATAGGGTCTTGCGAACTATTTGCCTGGGCTGGCTTCAAACTGTGATCCTTGAGTAGCTAGGATTACAGGTTTGAGTCACGGGCACCTGAGAGTATTTATCCAACAGGACTGCTGAGGCTAGGGAAAAGCCAATTGTGGCTTATTGCCAGAATTCCAGATGTCCCATTCATCAGCTCTCCTCTCACCTGCCAGAAGAACACCTCACTCCATTGACCTGAATTCACTAGCTGCATGTCTGGTCTGGGCCAATATCCTTTTTTCTTTCCCAGAACCCACTAAACCCTGAAGTTGTTTGTGCCTGAGGATTCTGTCCAGTTGCTCCCACCTATAACCATAAACCCTGGTGCCCTTGCTTAGCTGTCTCAGAGCTGGGATTTTTTTCCTCAGAGAGCTACCATCTCTTCATCAACATTAACTCTGTCACCACCATGCTCAAAAAAGAAGAGCCCAAAGTGGAGGAATTTTCACTGTGGGTTGCCATGAATTTAAGGGGTTAATTAGAATTCAGGAGAAGCATTAGGATGATAGGAAAGATTCAGCAAGTATAGAAAGTTGCTTTGGAAATAATTTTTAGGACCCTACTTCTCAGTCCTAAAATACTAGTAACAGTTTTTAGTTGGTAGTGGTAAGGAACTACTCATTGTTCCCAACAGATTATTCATGTCACAGGACATATTAGTCACATTTCTTCCCAATTAGACAAAGATAACAGTTGCATACATGTAATTTTATAAAGAAATAACTTATATTATAGAAATAAACTCATGTCTAGTCTGTTTTTTTCTTTTTTGTTGTTGAAAGTTCCTTTACTTCTTTCAATTCATGGGATAGCGTATGCCATTGTAGTTCTTCTTTGTAGAGACAGAAATCATATAACATAAAACTTACCCCTTAAAGGTGGGCAATTCAATTGTTTCCAGTATATTCACCAGATTTTGCAACAATCACTACTCTCTAATTCCAGAATACTTTCATTACCTCAAAAAAAACCTAGCCAGGCGCCTGTGGCTCACGCCTATAATCCTAGCTACTCAGAAGGCAGAGATCAGGAGACTTACAGCTTGAAGCCAGCCCATACAAATAGTTCATGAGCCCCTATCTCAAAAGAAATCCATCACCTAAAAAAAAAAAAAAAAAAAAGGGCTGGTAGTGATTCAAGCAGTAAGAGCACCTGCCTAGCAAGTGTAAGACTGAGTTCAAATCCCAGTGCCTCAAAAAAAAAAAAAGAAACCTGGTACCCATTAACATCATTCTTATTGTCCTGTCGCCTCAGTCCCTGGTGATCACTTATCTCCTTAGTCTGAATGGATTTGCCTATTCTGGACATCACATACAGAAGGAAATAATGTGGCCTTTTGTGTCTGGCTTCATTCACTTAGTGTGTTTTCACGGTTTATCCATGTTGTCAATGTATCAGTACTTCATTTCTTTTTATGGCTAAATATGGCAGATTTCTGACAGATCAGATGTCTGGTTCTCTTTAGGATAGCCTTTAAAGCAGTGTTTTTCACACTGTGCCCAATAAAGTCACCAGAATCTAAGAGGCATCACAGCAGAAGATGAAATAACTGAGGGGGTCCTGGTGTTTGTCTATTCTACATGTTAGTCTTTTGCAAAATACTGTATTTGAGGAAACGTTTCTTTTACTTAAAAAAAGAAGTTTTAAAATTGCTGAATCAAAGTAATCACACATTAACCAAAATTCCCTGCTGGATAGAATACTGCTAAAAATGTGCTTCTTCTCCTCTAGTTAAATGTACTTGCACTTGCCAGGCATGCGTTCTTCCTCTGGGCCAAATCCCAATCCTACGATTTTTGTCTTTTTTCAGTATTGGTGTTTGAACTCAAGGTTTAGCGCTTGCTAGGCTAGCACTCTTTGGCCTGAGCCACATCTATAGGCCTTTTTGCTCTGTTTATCTTGGAGACAGGGTCTTACTTTTTGCCCAGTCCAGCCTGAACTGTGATCCTATTTTATGCTTCTCAATATAACTGGAATGACAGGTACACACCACCACGCCTGATGTTTTCCAGTGAGATGGAGTCTCTGAACTATTTGCCCAAGCTAGTCTGGGACCACGACCATCCTCTCAACTTCAGCCTCCCAAGTAAGCTTGGGAGGACAAGTGCATGCCACTGCAACCAGTTATAGGTTGAGATGGGTTCTTGGTAACTTTTTGCCTGGGCCAGTCTTGAACCACAATCCTCTGGATCTCAGCCTCTCAAGAATTACAGGCTTGAGTCCCCAGGCCTAGCTAATTAAATGATTTTATTGGTTCTCTAACAAAGTGTTTTCCACGGGACACTGAAGGAGCACAAAAAAAGAGAACTTTCTTTGGAGCTATCAGGGAAGACTTTGTGCAGGAAGAGGGTGTATGATGTGTATATGCACGTGTATATAGGTGAGCAGTACTAGAGCCCAGCTTATGCAAAATTAGAAAGATATGAAAATTACAGGACTAGCTGCATGCCAGTGGGTCATGCCTGTAATCCTGGTTACTTGGGAGGCTGAGATTAGGATGATTGCGGTTCCAGGTTAGTCTGGGCAAATAGTTCTTGAGACCCCATCTCCAAAATAACTAGAGCAAAATGGACTGGAGGTGTGGCTCAAATGGTAGGGTGCCTGCTTAAATCCCAGTCCCACCAAAAAAAAAAAAAAAGAGAGAGAACTATAGGGCTGAGGGTTTAACTAAGTGGTGAGCATGCACAAGTTCTTGTGCTGGGGTACTAGATCCCCAGCACCAAGGAAAAAAAGAAAAGAACAAGTTGTTCAGTACTTCTAATATTCAAGTACAAATGGGCAGAGAATGAAGCCTCGTGAAATGGCAGGATTCATGAATGCCATTCGAAATAACTTAAGCTTTAGTTTATGGGCTACAGGAGTCACTGAATTGAGATTTTCACCAGAAGACTACTAAGATTTAACAAAAGCATCCTTTTTCTGTTGTAAATGGAGAAATCAGACTACAAATGAAGCAGGTTAAGAAAGTAGCTAACAGACTAAATCTAGATTAGAAATGATGACTGTCTGAATAAACAAAGTAATCCCAGGAAGAGAGGAGAGGAAGAATTTGAATCTGGGGTAGAAGGGAGGGTAAACACTGAAGAACTTGATAACTGAGTATACAATAATTACCTTGTCTGTAGCTTGAGTAACTAGGAAGAGAAGGGTATCATTCTCTGGGATGGGAAATACAAAAAAAGAAAGCTTTTAATAAAAATTTTATTTTTAATTGACACATACTAATTGTACCTATTTATGTCATACAATTTTTTTTTCCCCAGTACTGAGGCTTGAACCCAGGGCCTCACACAAGCAAGTGCTCTACCACTTGAAATGTGCCCTCAGCTCTTGTCCTTTCATCTTCTTTTCCCATCTACCCTCCTCTTCCAACCTCTGGTAACCTGCATTCTACTTTCCACTTTTGTGAGTTCAACAATTTTAGATTCCACATGCGAGCATTTGTTTTTCTGTCTCTGGCCTATTTCACTTAGCATTATTTGCTTCAGGGTCATCTATGTTGTTGTAAATGATAAGATTTGGGAATAAGGCTTTGATACAGGTTTGCTATGAAACTTAGATCTGTGAGTCATTAGTATATAAACAATGAAGTCAGGGATGGATGTGGAAGAAGCAACTGAGGAAAACTATGGGTATATAAAGTGAGAAGAAAGCTGAAGTCAGGGGTTGAGAATATCATTTGAGGGCTGGAGGGTGGCTCAAGTAGTAAAGCCCTTGCCTAGCAAATTTAAAGCCCCGAGTTCAAACCCAAGTACCACCAAAACAAAAGTGAAAATACCATTTGATGCTTGGTACAAAAAGTATGAAAATGAGGAATCAGTTAAAGAACCAGAGAACAGAGTGGTTTGGGAGGTAAAGGGAATAAGGAGTGATATGCTGGAAGGAAACAAAGAAATTTCAAGGAGTGGTTAATGCCACTAAGAAGTAATGAAAAGAACAAACTTCAATTTCCTCCATCTTTAGCAACCAGAAGGTCACTAAGTATCTGATTTCAGTGGAATGGAAGAAAATGGAGCTAATTTGCAGTTGAATGAGGAATGAATGGGAGGTAAGGAATTACCAACAGCAAGAGCTGAATATTTCAAGAAGTTTGGTTCTAGAACGCCAGAAAATAGGCCAGAAAGTCATAGTTATGGGGAATGTAAGAAAATTTTTGTTGTTTTCCTAGACAGGAGAGACATAAAGCATGTTTACATGATGAAGAGGAAAGAAAAATAGGGAAAGAGGCTTAAGATTTTGGAAAGAAGTGATAATTGATGAAGAAAAAGTCTCGGAAGAGATTAAAGAAGATAATTTATGTAGGTGTTGGAGCAGGAAAGGAAGAAAATCAAAAAGAGTGTACCAAGTATGATGGTACACATCTGTAATCCCAGCATTTGGGAAACTAAGGCAGAAAGATAGACCAGATTGAGCTATATAGTGAAACCCTGTCTCAAGAAAATAGAACAAGGGATGGGTGTGTGGCTCAAGTGGTACAGTATTTGCCTAGAAAGTGTGAGGCTGAGTTCGTACTCCAGTACTGCAATATAACACACATGAAAAATAAAATGAGTAAAGTTATAGGTTAGCTGGTATAGGAGAAAGGAGATATAGATACATACACGTATACATAAAAGGATTTATTGTGTTACGCCATTGTCTTGAAGTTTTGTTGTTGTTTTGTTCATTTGTTTTGGTGCTGGGGATTTATGTGGACTAGGTAAGTACTTTACCACTGGAGTGTACATCCCCAACCCCTGGAGGCCATTGTTTTTGACTAAGCTCCTGCTCTGGGTCCTAACAGACCACACTAAAAATCAGAATGGAGTCACTGAAACTAAAGCTCTACATCACCAGACTGAAACTGGCCTTCCAAGAACTCAGGAGAGAGAAGCCAATTTCAATTGGAATGATAACGAAGTTCCTTACAAAAAGGTAATCTAAAGCAACTTAGTGTTAGCCAGTTATTTTTCTACTGTTGCATCTCCTGTCCCCACCTTGCAAGGTAATTGACATCCAGATGACCAATGCATTTCAGTCTCTTCCTACACCTGGAAGCCAACCTCTTCTGTTCGGCTCATTGGAACATTCATTCTACTTTACAGATAAATGTGTTGCCCGATTCTAGAATCTCAAATAAAGTCAATCAAGATCTTTAAATTGTAATTTTGTCTTTGAGAGGAAGAACGAGATGTCTCCATCAGGTCCCTACCGGAAGCTCAAAGCTGGGATGGTCGCCCTTGGCTAAGCCTCCAGAAGGGATGGAGAACTTAACAGACTGCTGAGAGCACAGGTCGTCAGTGAGGTTAACCAACCAACCTGTCACACAGGCCTTTAACGCTCGAGTGCTAAGCTATAAAGGAAGGAACATCGAGCTGGTCCTTGGCTCAGACATACGACAAAAGGCGACAACCAGTAGCTGTAGGCTCAGAAAGAGGTGAGTATAGCGAGACTGTCCACGACCCAGCCGGTGTGGTCCAGATCTACAGAACAGCCGCCACTGCTGGGTTGACTCGCACTTAAAATCCCGCAGTCCACAAAACGACCCCCTCCCCACAAAAGCGCGAAGCGATTTCTAAGGCGAGAAAATGAAGTCAGTCGTTTAGAATAATCCTGTCTCCAGACAGCATCTTCTTTATTCACATAATCACCTCTCTGCCACTAAAACAACAAAAATTGCATTCAGCGCAGGGAAATGTCTTCTTCGATCACTGCCTGGCTCGTACCAAATTCGTAGCTGAGGATGAAAAACGAGGGAGGGGAATCTGCACTTACGCAAATCTACGCCTGGAAACCCTAAAGGCTGAGGTATAAGGAGCTGCGTGCCGAGCCACGATCACCAGTCCGGTTATTGCCACTGTTACCACCGCTTGGGAGCCAGGTTTGCGCTTAAGTGCAAGCACGACGTCAACGGCTTCGCAGTAAACGTGCGCGCGCATGCGTCCTCCGCCTGGAGAGCTCATTTACTTGCGAGACTCAGAAGCTAGCATTAGAAGGCGGGAGGTCGCTGGCTACAAGCGCTTCCGGCGGCGCGTAGCTGTGATTGGTGGAGCATAGGAGATGGGCGGGACAACGAGTAATTCGAATGTGAGAAGCGGGCCGGGAGGAGGGAGTAGAAAGGACGCGGGGGTCTCCGCACCGCTTAGGCGACGCGAGATGGCGGCGGCCGCATCAGGTACGCGGGCCCGACAAGGGCGAGGCAGGGCATCGAAGTCCGTAGCCTTGTGGGGCAATGCGTCGGAGTCTGGCCCGGGCTGCGTGGCTGGGGCCGGGAGAGGGAGAAAGTGCGAGCCTACCGAGTAGCCAGCGCATCAGGCGCCGCCCGCGCTGTTTCCGGCTCTGCACCCTTGTCAGTAGACCCAACTGGTGACCTGAGCCCGGCGTTTGGTTTGAGCCCGGCCTACTTTTCCTTTGTGAAGTTTCAGTTTCTCCGTCTGTAAAGTGTGGATAGTGACTCCAGTTCTGGAGGTTACTTGAGTAATCAAGAGAAAAGTGGCTGACCCTCTAACTGTACTGGTATAAAAAACAAGGGGCCGGCTGCATGTTGTGGCTGAAGGCTTCTGGGTGGGACGTGGGGTCTGGGTGCAGAGATCACCCAGAAGTGAAGATGCAGGAGGACATCTGAAAGGCTCAGCCAAGCGCAGCTGGGTGAGTGGGCAGCGTCAGAGGCGTTGGAACCCCAGGAAAGGGATATATATGGAGGGCTGGCCCCTCTAGCCGTTTGGAAGAGGCTGATGGGACAATGAGAGCCTTGTATTTGAGTGTTTGTTTACATGTGCCTCTCCTTTCTTCCTGTAGTAGACTGACTTGGGGTTAGTGAGTGTCCTTACTGTTTGTCAGGCCTGTAGGAGGGGTGAACAAAGATATTCAGGAGAATGCCTAACATATGCGCCCTTGCCAGACACAGCTGTAAAAATTTTATGGTGATGAACCATTGAATGGTTCACTCAATGCTATGAGTGGGTATTGCTACTGTCCTTGTTTTTGACACCAGGAAATAGGCAAAAATGAGTTAAATAGCTTGCCCAAAGTTAACACAATTGGCAAATATTAGAGCCTGAATTCACACTCAAGCAGTTTGATTCCAGAGCTTCTGCCCTTAGCCATTATGCCCAAGTACATGCTGTTTCTGTCTCACAAAACCTCCTTCACCTTTCTAAGATCCACTGTGCCTGGAGCATAGTAGGTATTGAAGTACTTGAATATTGCCCCTTCCCTAGAAAAGCTTACAGTCTGTTTCAGTAGTTATGTAAACAGATCCCATATGATGAAGCGCAATGAGAGCATGTATAAACTGCCATAGAGAGTACAGAATCTAAAATATACCCTTGGGTATTCTAGGAAGGTTTCATTAAGAAAGTGATATTTGAAGTGGATTTCAAAAAGGTTAGATAGAAATTTGGTAGGTCTTAAATGGGAAGAAAGGATCACCAAATGTTATTTGTGTTGTAAAGAAGGCCAAAGATACTCTCTTGGCTCAGTTCCTCATCCATAAAAAAGAGTTAAAGCCCTATAATGTGGTACATGTCTGTAATCCCAGCACCTATGAGGCTGAAGAAGGCCTTCAGGACAGGCAGTTCGAGGGCATCTTGGGCCAGGATGGGCTGTGTCAAAAAGAGGAAGGGAAAGGGAATGATGAAAGTAAAGATTGAACAAGTAATGACTATTCATTCATCAAAACTTAATTTCTTCAGAAAATACTTCCTAAGGGTCTAGTCTGTGCCAGGCATTGGGAACAGAATGTGTGCAGGGTAAAACCTGCTTTCCCTGAGTTCACAATCAGGTGGAGAAGACAAACTTGTAATTACAATGGAGTGTGATGAATGGAGCCAGAGAGCCTAAGTGGGGTAGTAATGTCTACAGAGGAAGGGGTTTTTAAAGGAAGAATTAAGATTTAACTGTTTACCTCAATCACTTGTGAGCTGGGAGGCATTAGTGAAGATATTCCCTATGTACAAAGGCCAAAGGTATGAAAGAACTTGGTGTTTTGTAGGAACTGAGGGAAATTTAGGATGGCTGAGAACATACAGTGCAAGGAAGGAAATGGAAGAGAGTGAGATTAGAGACATCTTGAAAGACCAGTTGGGAGGTTGTTGTTGATGAGACTGGAGGCAAAGGAATTTGGAGAGTGGTGGACTCAAAGGGTGGTTTGGCTTGTGATCCCAGCTCTTAGGAGGTGGAGGCAGAAGGATGACCAGCTTAGGCTACATAAGCAAGACCCTGTCTCAAAAGCAAAAAATCAGATACTATAAAAGATAGAATTAGCAGGTGTTAATGATGACCTGATGCAGCCATTAAGAGAGAAGGGGGAAGTAAAGACTTCCATTTTGGGAAGTCACATACTTTACAGAGCAAAGGAGGAGGACAATGTGGCAGAATCTGTGGAAGGACTCCGATTAGGCCAAGTGGAGTTTGAGGTGTCTGAAAACTATCCAAGAGAAGATGTCAGTACAAGCAGCTTGGAATGTGGATATGCAGTTCAGGAGAGAGCTCTGCTGGATAAGAGGCATCAGCTTTAAGATGATAGTTGAAGCCATGAGAGCATGTGACCTGTCATGAAATAAATCTGAGTAGTCTCTTATGGGAGAGCCGCTTTAACATTTGGAGATGTCTGGAGACTCTTTTTTTTTTTTTTTTTTGGTAGTACTGGTTAATGAACCCAGGGGCTTGTACATGCTAGGCAAGTGCTCTACCACTCCAGCCATGTCCGCAGCTCCTCCCATGTTTTTTTTTTTTTTTTTTTTCTGTAGTACTGGAGTTTGAATTCAGTGCTTCTTGTTTGCTAGGCAGCACGCTACCACTTTGATCCACTCCACCAACTCTTTTGTGATGGATTTTTCGAGATAGGGTCTTGCAAAATATTTGCCTGGGCTGGCTTCGAACCTTGATTCTCCTGATTGCTGCCTCTTGAACAGCTAGATTACAGGTGTGAGCTCTGGCACCCAGCTTGTTTTTTGTTTTTGAGATAAGGTCTTCCTAATTTGCCTAGATTGACCTTGAACTGGAAGACCTCCTGCTTTGGCCCACTGAGTAGCTGCAGGGATTATAGGCATATCCAAGTTGGAGATAATTTTGCTTTTCACAAAATTTATAGGCTAGGGCTGGGGTCGTGGTTCAAGTGGTAGAGCTGCTTGACTAGCAAGCTTGAGGCCCTGGTTCAATCCCTAGTACCACTCCCTGCACCCCCCCCCCAAAAAAAAAAAAAGATAATTTCTAGTGGGTACAGGCTAAATAGCCTACAATGCATGTACAGGACAACCCTACAACAAAGTTACACAATGCAAAGTGTTAATAGAAGTACCAATATTACAGAAATTGAGAAACCTGGCCTAGAGAGAAGATAAAAGCATGGGAAAAATATTTAAGACTGGCAGAAACTGAGGTGTGAACAGAGAGCTAGTAAGACAGCCAGGAGAATGGATGGCATGGGAGCTAAGAACAGTATGTCTCCCAGGAGTGTTGAAATACTGCTGAGAAGTTAGATAGGATTGGGACTGATTGTGCCCACTGGATCTAGCAGAAGAGAAATCACTTGGTGACCCTGCTAAATAGTGAGGGCAAAAGCAAGTTGGTGGGTTTGAGGGTGAGTGGCAAGAGAAAGGGTATAATAATCTTAACACCAACAACTAATATTTACTGAGTACTTGCCTGGCACTGCCCTAAATGTCCATTATTTGTATACATTTAATGAAGATAGATACTGTTGTTATTTTTATAGAGAAAAAGAAGCTTAGAATGGTTAGGTAACCTTGCCAAGGTCACACAGATGGTAAGTAGACTTCAAATCCTATAGGGATACCAAGGGGCTGAGGAGGCCTGAGCATTCATACATGAACTTTGAAGTTAACTAGCTGTTGAACATAGGCAAGTTGGCTAACCCCTCTACACTGAGGTTTCCTTATCTGGAAAATGGGGGATGAATATAAAATCACTTAAGTAAACTTTTATCAAGTTTATAGACGCTATTCTAACCGCTTTTACACAAATTACTTTAATTACTCTCCTAACCCCAGTGAGTAGGTATTTTTATTTTACATATAAGGAATTTGAGGCACAGGGATGGGAAATTATCTCCCTAGGTTATTCAGTTAGTTGAAAGAAGTGGCAGAGCTGGGAATGAACTAAGACCATTTTACCTTGAATAACTAATCTACTCACAACATGCAAGATACTATGCTGGCATTTTACCTGTTAATTCTTTTAAGCCTCATAAAGCCCTTCAAAGAACCACCCTATTTTACAGACAAGGAAACCAAAATACATGGATGTTAAGCCACTTACCCAAGGTCACAAACCAGTAAGTGGCCAAGCTAGAATTTAAATCTTGCTGTCTGACCAGTGTACATTCTACCTCATTGCAGATATCCCTTCCCCTTGTACTGATTGCTGAGCTTCCATAAGTGTGTCTGTCTCATCTCTTTCTGTTCTCTGAAGGAAACCTGGAAAATCAAGGCAGAGGGGGCTCCTGAACATAATTTTATCAAGTCAATAAAGCTCTTTCTGCTTCAATCTTCTATCTGCATACCTGTATCTGTAGGGTTTGTTTTGTTTTTTTCATGGTGCTACTGGGATTTCAACTCTGAGCGTTCGCTTGCTAGGCATGTGCTCTATCACTCGAGCCACACTGCCAGCCCACATCTGCAGGTTTTTACTAGCTTGCTCCTGACTTTCAGGATTGTCATGAGGGGCAAATGAGAACTAGATGTCCAAGTGCTTTCTAAGCCAGAGTGAAAAATGGTGTTTTTGCCCCCATTTGTTAGATGAAGGAACAGAGGTTGTTTTTGAAACAGACCATTTGCTTATGGGCATGCCTTACTTATGGGTAAGATTCTTTCCAAGGGTATTTTGCCTTTTTGTCTTGCTGTTTCTGTGTTGGCTACATACACCAACCATTGTTTTGCCTTCTATGAGGCCTCTAGCTTCAGCAACCAGCTGCTATCACCAGCAAGGAGAGAAAGAGCTGAAAAGAGCTTTCCCAGTTGGTACATAAAAGAGAGACAGTATAGCATCCTCATTAAAATAGAATTTTGGAGTGAAGATATCTAGGCTTGAATTCTCCTATTAACTGTGAGCTTTACTATGCTATCCTCCAATGTAAAATAAAGTATTATCCTTCTCTTAAGACTAGTAAGATTTTTTTTGTTCATTATGTTTTCAGATGATAATTTTTTTTCAGGTGTCTTAGATTTAATCATTGGAAGCAAACTAAATGAAAAGCTTATGAACTATACATCAGTACCTTTTATAGCCTGAGCTAGGAAAGACTGAGATTGGGGGCTTCTCCTCAAACCTAATCCCTTCCACAGTGTCAGTGGCTTTAAAAAAATGCAAACATTGCAGCATTATAAAACTGGATACCATTTAAAAAAAATTAAAAACAAATCCACATAATCCTCCATCAAGAGAAAAACTCCTGTTAGTAGTTTAGGGGGATGTGTAGATAAAGACATCAAGATATGCATTAAAACTTCAGGCAAGAAATAGTGGCATAGTTGGGCAGTTCATTTTCTGGTTTTAGGCAGGGTCAGATGTCAAGTCATTTAATTCTATACTGTGAGGTGCTGGTCTACAATACCTTGGCAATTCAAAATAAGCCCCAGCAGCAGTAGCATCTGGGAGCTTGTTGGAAATGCAAAATCTCATAGCACCCCAGGGACTGAAGCTAAATCTGAATTTTAATAAGATCTTCTAGGTTATTTGTGTACACATTGCAGTTTGAGAAGCCTGTTCTTGAACCCCACTGGACCTACTGGTAGAGCAGGGAAGGAACCGGGGCTGAGCCTGGGGGGGTACCCACAGCATGGCCATGGTGGAAAATGCTTCCTCTGTGCTACCACCATCCTTCATGCCTAAAACTTACTTTCTCTCCTCCAGGAGCAGGTCGCTGTCGTCTCAGCAAGGTGGGGCCTGGCCGACGCCCACCTCCAGCTCGAGTAAGGGTGGCTGTGCGACTGCGGCCATTTGTGGATGGAGCAGCTGAAGTGAGTGAATCCCCCTGTGTACGAGGCACAGACAGCTGCTCACTTGAGGTTGCCAACTGGAGGAACTACCAGGAGACTCTCAAATACCAGTAAGGTTCAGGCCACTCCTTTCCTCTCCTTAGACCTACTCACATTATCAGTTGCCCAAATACTTTCTCAGATCTGCCTCCCAAGATCCTGCTCCTTCCTTAGCACGTCTTTGTTCCCTAAACTTTCACTTGTTCGTTCAGGAAATGTTCCTGGTGCCCACTGTGACAGGTCTTCTGTGGGATACTGTGGATAAAGACCAGAGAATCAGACACATATTATTGTTTAGTCTTGTGGGGGAAATAGAAATGAAGGAAGGAAGGAAGGAAGGGAGCAGCAAAGAGGAGCAGGGGAGCCCCAAGTGAGGTCTGGGGGGATGTGTGTGTGTGGGGGGTGGGCACATAACCCAGCCAGCCAATCCAAGATGCAGCTGGGTAGTGTCAGAGAAGACCACCCAGATTTGGGGGAGGGAACCCATGAAGGTAGCTACTTAAAAATTCTAAACTTAAAGTTCAAACTCCTTGGCCTGTTATTCTAGGCCAGGAGATGGCAACCTACAACCTGCAGATCAAATCCAACCAGGAATCTTTGTATGTAAATAAAGTTTTATTGTTTATTTATATATTGCCTGTAGCTGCTTTTTACTGTCTCAAAATTAGGTAGTTGTGAAAGGAACCACATGGCCCACAAAGTCTAAAATATTACTGTCTGGCTCTTTTCAGAACAAATTTGCTGGCTTTCATTCTAGGTCCTTAATAATTTGACTTCAGTTTTTTACACCCATATCCCATCAACATACACTAAATTCCACAGCCTCTCCAGTAGAATGTAGCAGATGGGCTATAGTTATTTTGAATCTAGACTAGTTATAAGCAGCATCTTCTTTTTCACCCACTATGGTGTACAAATGCTACTTTCTATATGTGCTGCCACATGAAAAAGCGCTGCTCTTTTATACTATGTCTTGTTTATGTGCTGTTCTTTCCTTCTTCCTGGCAGTTTCTTTCCTTCAGCAGAATCAGTTATTCCTTCTAGTATGTTCTCATCTTTGTTTCCTGAATCACAACAAAATATAAGTATTTGTCTATTCTACCAGATTGCAGAACTCCCAGGAACAGCAACATCAGATTCGTTTCCCTAACACCAGTACAGAGACTGGGACAGAGTAGGTGTTCAGTAGATGCATTTAAGGTCTTTGTGCAAGAAAAGGCATAGAGATGTTAAGTCCAAAGCCAGTATTCTTTAAGTCTGGGTGCCAACAGAACCCTTTGCTAATGCCCTCCTGTCTTTTTGTCCCTAGGTTTGATGCCTTCTATGGGGAGAGGAGCTCTCAACAGGACATCTATGCAGGTTCAGTGCAGCCCATTTTAAGGCACTTGCTAGAAGGGCAGAATGCCAGTGTGCTTGCCTATGGACCTACTGGGGCAGGTGAGGGACCCCAAAGTGAACAACGATGGGTCAAAAACGGCTAGGAAAAAGAAGATGAATACTTCACAGCTTTCTCCACTCTCTCTCCAGGGAAGACACATACAATGTTGGGCAGCCCAGAGCAACCTGGAGTGATTCCCCGGGCTCTTGTGGACCTCCTACAGCTCGTAAGGGAGGAAGGCACTGAGGGCCGTCCATGGGACCTTTCTGTCATTATGTCCTACTTAGAGATCTACCAGGAAAAGGTGAGGCCTGTCTGTAGTTGGGGAGGGAAGAAACAAAGGGTCAAAGTAAGGTGGGATTCTAGAACATGAAGGTCTGCTCTAGCCTTAGAGAGATGTTGGGGTGACAGAAGGTACAACTCTGGGAATTCAAGAGAGAAAAGGAGACCAATCCCCAGAAGTAAGCAGCATACACATGGAGAATTGGCCTTCCCTGTCATTGTTCCAACAGGTATTAGACCTCTTGGATCCTACTTCAGGAGACCTGGTGATCCGGGAAGACTGTAGAGGAAACATCTTGATTCCGGGTCTCACGCAGAAGCCCATCACTAGCTTTGCTGATTTTGAGCGGCACTTTCTGCCAGCCAGTGGAAATCGGACTGTAGGAGCCACCCGGCTCAACCAGCGCTCTTCCCGCAGTCATGCAGTGCTCCTCGTCAAGGTGAGGCCCACTGACAGAGGTAAGGACTGGGAAGCCCCTGGAGCCTGAGCTAAGCCTGGGGCCCTTGCTCTTCACCCAGGTGGATCAGCGGGAGCGTTTGTCCCCATTTCGCCAGCGGGAAGGAAAACTCTACCTGATTGATTTGGCTGGCTCAGAGGACAACCGACGCACAGGCAATCAGGGCCTTCGGCTCAAAGAGAGCGGAGCCATCAACACCTCCCTCTTTGTATTGGGCAAGGTGGTAGATGCACTGAACCAGGGCCTCCCTCGTGTGCCCTACCGCGATAGCAAGCTCACTCGCCTATTGCAGGTCAGGCCCGCTTGTGTCAGGGCAAAGGGGCTGGAGGAGGTGGTTCTTAGGCTTGCTGGAGGGAGATAGGGTCAGTGCTGAGAGGAGTGACAATGAAGGTATGGGAAGGGTAGGATTCTGACCCACCTACTCTCCATCCCTCAGGACTCTCTGGGTGGCTCAGCCCATAGCATCCTCATTGCCAACATTGCTCCTGAGAGGCGGTTCTACCTAGACACGGTCTCTGCACTCAACTTTGCTGCTAGGTCCAAGGAGGTGATCAACCGGCCTTTCACTAATGAAAGCCTGCAGCCTCATGGTGAGGACTAAGGGATGCAGGAGTGGAAAAGCCAGATCTGAACACTGGAGTGTTTTCCGAACCTACCAAGCATCAACATAGAAGCTGACCAGTCCTACTCTCCCTTATATCCTCTCCAATCTTCTCCTAGCCTTGCCACCTGTTAAGCTGTCTCAGAAAGAATTGCTAGGCCCATCAGAGGCAAAGAAAGCCCGAGGCCCTGAGGAAGAGGAGATTGGGAGCCCTGAGCCCACAGCAGCTCCAGCTCCTGCCTTCCAGAAACTCAGGTGAGCAGTGAGGCCTCTGTGTACCACTTCCCTGCAGGGTCTGGGGTAGCTGCAGAGCAGCAGTGGGTTTAGCCTTTCATATCCTTGAGTAGAAACAGCTATGAATTTGTTCCTCTTCCAATGAGTTCATTCAAACTCCTCTTCCGTGGAATTCACTGAAGTGCCAAGATCCACCTACCCTCAGTGCTACTGCCTTGGGGACCCAGGAAGGCCTCCTTCTTGGGCTCCTGGTCCCCTCCCTTTCTATTTTCTATTCCCTTTACACTGTCAGCAAAACCTCATATTTTGGGGCAGCTGTTTTGAGAAGGAGCCCGTTTGCTTCTGGATCAGATTTTTCAGGTCTAGAGGATGACAGGAAGGTAAAGGAGGCAAGGAAGTGATGGAGAGAGATGTGTCATTGAGACTTCTGGGTATTAGGGGCCAACCTTTCTAGGACTCTCCAAGGAGCCAGTTGCTGTTCTAACATTACACCACTTCTATGCTTAATTCTAAGAAAGTCTCTGAGTCCCTTTTTTATGTGTGTGGTCAACCTTCCCAGTTCTGATTGCTCTACTTCATGCCCAGTATGTACTAACCCTCACTCACTTCTGTTCAGTGGTCTTGTATTCTGTATTACCTGTGAACAGGCAAGCTTTCTGCCAAATAGGCATTCTGAATAAGGGCAAGCTCAAAGATAGGTCACATCACACCTAAACAGACCCTGGCCTTGGGGACTCACTTTTCAGTGAAAGTGATATGGAAGATGAGTATTTGGTTCCAGGTAGATAATCCAGAAAGAATAAGAAGTAACTGCTTATTCTGTGAAAGCCTAAGGAAGAAGTGACTTCTAGTGTTTATTCCATGTTTTCTGATCCAGCTCTCCCAAGGCACTTACATGTAAAGAATAGGACGCGTTCCCTGTCCTCGAACGGCTAGTTCACAGGACAGCAAAGAGGCACAGTCAAACTGGGCATTATAGGAAAGTGACATCAAATGTGCTTAGCCAGCTAGGAGCCTGCTTAAACAGGCCTTTCCTACTGCCCACAAGATAAAGGGTTTGTATTTGAAGTCTAGTGGCTCTCAGCTTCGTGAAAGATGACCCCTCTCTGAGTCCTTCCCCAACTGCTCTTCCAACTGGCCTGGCCCTCAGCCCTTGCTATCACCCTGTTATGGTCCCTTACTTTCCTTATTTAGATAGTAAGTATCTCCAAGGTGGGGCAATGTAGATCCCTAATACTGGCACTCAGGTATTCATTTAATGCTTGTTCTCATTGGATCTCCTGACATCCCTGATGAAGACAATGTACACTTAGGGATGACTTGTTCAGGGTTGTTCAGCAAGTAAATATTGGGGCTCTGGAATGGGATATACAAAGTTACTAAGACATGATGAGGGAAGTCCTGCTGCTAGAGATGGGGAGTAACAGTAACCTCTTTGCCTGCTCAGCCCCTTGCAAAAGCTAAGCAACATGGACCCAGTCACGCTGGAGCGCCTCCTGAGCTTGGACCGCTTGCTGGGTTCCCAGGGAAGCCAAGGAACACCTCTACTGAGTACCCCAAGGCGAGAGCGTATGGTGCTCATTAAGACAGTGGAGGAGAAGAATTTGGAGATTGAGGTAAGTGTTGGGGGAGGCAGGCTAGGATTCCTACTGGCCTTGAGATCCTAGGATCTTTAGACAGAAACTAAAGTTTGGACTAATGGCTAAAAAAAAACCTAAAGACTGAAACTAAAGGCTGAACTAGGGATAGGGGGTGGCTCAAGCAGCTGAGCTAAGCAAGTGCTAGGTAGAGTTCAAACCCCTTACTGCAAAAAAAAAAAAAAAAAGCTAGACTAGTGTTCAGTTTTCACCCAATACCACAGGTTGTTTGGCTTCTGCTCAAATGTCCTTAACATGGCTGAACTCTGACATACATTGCATTTCCTAAAACCCTGCTTGAACAGTCTTTGCCTTCAGTATTCCCACCTCTAGGCAGTCCCCGGATCATTAGAAAGCCCTTAGTTCTTTTGGGGTCCACGTGTTTCCTAGTAGCTTTTTCCCTGATTCTTACTCTATCCTCTTGGACTTCAGAGTACTACCTGTTCCAACTTCTTATTTTTTGCCGTGGGGTTGGGTCTGACCTTTCCAACAGAGGCTTAAGATGAAGCAAAAAGAACTGGAGGCCAAGATGCTGGCCCAGGAGGTTTTGGACCCAAAGGAAAAGGAAAACTGCGCTCCCACAGTGCTCCGACCCCTTCCCCGTCGTACAGTCACAGTGGCAAAGCCCCTGAAAAAGGCTGTAGTGATGCCTCTACAGTTAAGTAAGTCTGGCTCCCAAGGCTGGGAGGGCCCAGATAGCCCATATCCCATGAAGGAGGAGGTGTTAGGAGCAGCTGTCCTTGTGGCATTTGTGTCTTCCCAGCATATGGCAGTACTGGGAGCTCTGCCTTTGAGAGTTGGACAGTGGGGTAGATGGACAAATGTGTGACTGATTCCAATGTAAGACCAACTGAGACTACTTTCAGATATAAGAAATATCATATGGAAACACAACAAAAGGTTAACTCATGGTGGAGGGGAACTGGGAAGTCAGAAATGTGAAAAACCAAGTAGCTGTCAAGGAGGAAGAAAAGTGTCCTGATCCAGTTCACAATTCCTGCTTTCAGTTCAGGAGCAGGCAGTATCTCCAAATGCCAAGATCCATATCCTGAAGAAGAGAGGCCGGAAAAGAAAGGTGAGTGGTTAGAGGTCCAAGCCTATTCCTTGCACCTAGGAACTGTTTAGGAGTAGTGAGCTGTAGAGGCAGAGCACTGGCCTTGGAATTTCATGCCCTGACTTCACTATTTACAAATCTTGTTTACCCTCTGCATTTGGTGATGGCACCTCAGAGGGCATTTAGGGTGAAATGCAATGATGTAGACATACCTAGCACAGAGGCTGTCCACCACCTGTTGGTTTCCTTTGTCATGGTGATTGCCCTCAGTAGCTACTGACCAGATACAGTGTGTACCCTGCTCCTGCCCTCTACAAATGTAAGAGCCTCTCCCCTCTCCTTGTAGGGAAGCAGCACCTCAGCACCCAGTCTCTCACACACTCTGGTACACCCAAATGAAACACCACTAGGAGAGGATGTGTGGGGGGCGTTTATTTCCTGCCTTCTCCCATGCACTTTCCCGGGAGTGAAGAAGAGTCGTGCTTGCCTTTGAGCCCCCTCCCTATGCTGGAGCCGCACCCCCAACCCTGAGGGAGACTGAAGAGCTTGCTTTATATCCATGATATCACTGGATTTTTCCAGCAACTGGGAAAAAAGGGCTAGTGCCACCAAGAAGGCGGGCTGTGCTCCCTCTGTCACTAACCTCCCCTTGCCGCAGCTGGAGTCCCTGGAGGCCTCTGAGTCGGAGAAGAAGGCTGAGGCCGGCTGGGACCTGGAGCTCAGCCCGGAGCTGCTGGCCCGCGGGCGCCAAAAAATACTGGATCTGCTCAACGAAGGCTCAGCTCGCGACCTGCGAGGCCTGCAGCGCATTGGCCAGAAGAAGGCTCAGCTCATCGTGGGCTGGAGGGAGCTGCACGGGCCCTTCAGCCAGGTAACAGCGCGAGGGGGGCGAGGGCGCGGCGCGGGGCTCTTCCCTCCCCTCCCCCCTCCCTCCCATGGCCGTGTCCTGCAGGTGGAGGACCTGGAGCGCGTGGAGGGCATCTCCGGGAAGCAGGTGGAGTCCTTCCTGAAGGTGAGCTGGGTGCCGCCGTCCTCTCCGGCCCGCGCCAGCCCTGCCCATGCTGACATCGCTCTTTCCTGTGTTGCAGGCGAACATCCTGGGCCTGGCGGCGGGCCATCCCTGCGGCCCCTCCTGACCGCTCCACACGCTGCGTTTTTTTTTTTTTTTAAATATTTGTGTAACCGCGTCTTGTGTAAATACAGTTTTTACTCCGTACTTCAGCCTGATTTTTTGGGGGGAGGGAGGGTAGGGGCGGCGGGGGCGGGGCTGGGCTAGAGTTATAATGGCCCCTGGGGTCAGCTACAGGCTATCCCGGTAAACTTTGGACGCCATCTTTGGGAAACCTCGACCAAGCGTAAGATTGTAAATAAACCGCTGGAATGGGGAGGGGGAAGACGGTAGCCTAGAGGAAACAAAAAGCTGAAGTGAAAGCCTGAGGACGACGACCGTTAGGCGGGCGCGCGCTCCAAGTTTGGCTCCGCCCCCTCCGTACTCCCGGCGCGCGCTCCCCGTCTCCCGCTCGGCAACGACAGCGGCGTAGTGTGCGCGTGCGCGCGAAATAACGGCTGCTGGCGGAGGGAAGTGGGGGGGGCGAAATCGTTGCAAGGGGGGTGAAGAGAAGAGAGGCCGCTCTGTCTCCCGCGCGCCCACCACCTGCGCCATCGTCAGCCAATCAGCGGCCGTCTCAGGGGTCTCGCGCTCAGGGCGACTCCGGCTGCTGGGTGGCTCCCCCATCCCTCCTCCCGCCAGAGAGCCTCCCCCCTCCTGCTGGTCTCGCGCGCGCTCGCGCTCGCGCCCGCTCGAGCCTCTTGTGTGTCCTCGCGCCCCCCGCCCGCCCTCCCCGCGCGCAGTGTGCTCTGCTCCCCCCACCCTACTCCTCCCCCCTCCCGCCCGCCCCGCGCGCCTCCTCCCCGGGTTCCCCCTCCCCCACCGCCGCCTCCTCCTCCTCCCGCCCCAGGGTGAGCGCGAGCCACCTCCCTCCTCCCTCCGCCATGGATCCCAGCAACTGGAGCAGCTTCATCTTCCAGGTAACAACCCCTTCCCCCGCCCCCACCCCCTGCCCACACCCCCTCCTGCCCGCCCTCCCTCCCTCCCATCCCACCCCCCCTCCGCGCGCCCGGTGCGCGCGCAGCTGTCCCCCTCCCTCCCTCGCGCCCTCCCCCGCCCTCCCCGAGGCGCCGGCTGGGCGCGCGCGCGGCGGGGGCCGAGGCTGCTCCCTCGCTCCCCCACCCCGCCCCGCCGGGCTCCAACCGCCGCCGCCGCCGCCGCCGCCCGGGCCCCGCCCCCGGCCCCCGGCCCCGCGGGGCCTCCCGCCCCCACCCGGGGGCGTCGCCGCCGCCACCGCCGCGCTCCGCCAGGCGCCCTCCTTCCTCCCTCCCTCCCGCCGGCCGGGGTGCGCGGGCGGCGGGGCGGCCCGCGGGCCATGCGTTCGGCGCGGCCCAGCCCGGCCGGCCGGGGCGGCGCCCCGAGCCCGGGCCCCGCGCGGCCCGCGCCCCCGGCCCCCGCTGAGCCCCGGGGCCCCGCCGCGGCCGAGGCCATGTTCCCCGTGTTCCCTTGCACGCTGCTGGCCCCCCCCTTCCCCGTGCTGGGCCTGGACTCCCGGGGGTGGGCGGCCTCATGAACTCCTTCCCGCCACCTCAGGGTCACGCCCAGAACCCCCTGCAGGTCGGGGCTGAGCTCCAGTCCCGCTTCTTTGCCTCCCAGGGCTGCGCCCAGAGTCCATTCCAGGTGAGTGGGGCCGCCGGGCGGCGGGCGGGCGGCGGGCTTGCGGGCGGCGGCCCGGGCCCACACGCGCTGTCCCCGCAGGCCGCGCCGGCGCCCCGCCCACGCCGCAGGCCCCGTCGGCCGAGCCGCTCCAGGTGGACCTGCTCCCGGTGCTCGCCGCGGCCCAGGAGTCCGCCGCCGCCGCTGCGGCCGCTGCCGCCGCCGCCGCTGTGGTCACCGCACCCCCGGCCGCCGCCGCCGCCTCTACGGTGGACACAGCGGCCCTGAAGCAGCCGCCAGCGCCGCCGCCGCCGCCCCCGCCCGTGTCGGCGCCCGCCGCCGAGGCCGCGCCCCCCGCCGCCGCCGCCACCATCGCCGCCGCGGCCACCGCCGTCGTCGCCCCGACGTCGACGGTCGCTGTGGCCCCCGTCGCGTCCGCTTTGGAGAAGAAGACAAAGAGCAAGGGGCCCTACATCTGCGCCCTGTGCGCCAAGGAGTTCAAGAACGGCTACAATCTCCGTCGGCACGAGGCCATCCACACGGGCGCCAAGGCCGGCCGCGTCCCCGCGGGCGCCATGAAGATGCCCACCATGGTGCCCCTGAGCCTGCTGAGCGTGCCCCAGCTGAGTGGCGCCGCCGGGGGCGGGCCCGAGGCGGGCGCGGGCGGCGGCTCGGCCGCGGTGGCCGCCGGCGGCGTCGTGACCACCACCGCCTCGGGCAAGCGCATCCGCAAGAACCACGCCTGCGAGATGTGCGGCAAGGCTTTCCGCGACGTCTACCACCTGAACCGGCACAAGCTGTCGCACTCGGACGAGAAGCCCTACCAGTGCCCCGTGTGCCAGCAGCGCTTCAAGCGCAAGGACCGCATGAGCTACCACGTGCGCTCACATGACGGCGCTGTGCACAAGCCCTACAACTGCTCCCACTGTGGCAAGAGCTTCTCCCGGTGTGCAGGGGCCTCGGCCGCCCTCGGGCCGCGGGGAGGGAGGGGCGGACGCACGCAGGAAGGCCCCCAGGTGGCCTGGCCGCCGGGGAGGAGGCGGCAAGCCGCCTGGTTACCGGGGAAGCAGGGGGTGGTGCTCTGCCAAGGAGGTGGGTCTTCGGGGGTTGAAGGGAAGCTCGAGTGGGAGGAGGAGGAGGAGGCCGCAGCTCCGGGGAGGGGTTTCCTGCCCAAGAAGGACCGTGAAGCGTTGGGAGAAGGCGCAGGCACTTTGGGAAAGGCTTGTTGCAGGAAGTTAGGCAGATTTGGGGCACACTTCTACCCCCAGAGCCTCAGCCCTAACCCCAACCCCAACGTATCCCTAGGCCGGATCACCTCAACAGTCACGTCAGACAAGTGCACTCAACAGAACGGCCCTTCAAATGTGAGGTAGGAAGGCCACCTCCCCCTGTCCTGGTTTTCATGATTTTGATCCTCATGGTAGCTGTCTGAGTTCAGTCTCTCAGATCCCCTTTTTCTCTCTCTCCTTTTTGCTTTTTCACTCCCATTTTCTCATTCCTTCTTCAAGGCCTCATCATCTCACTCTCATTTCCTACAGATCAAAGATCCCCAAGGCTCTGATCCCTTTAACCTCTTGTTCCCTTCTCCCCACTCCCCAAAGCTTTAACTCTCCTGTGACACCCCCCACGCCCCTCCGCCCTCCCCAGAAATGTGAGGCAGCTTTTGCTACGAAGGATCGACTCCGGGCGCACACAGTACGACACGAGGAGAAGGTGCCATGTCACGTGTGTGGCAAGATGCTGAGCTCGGCTTATATTTCGGACCACATGAAGGTGCACAGCCAGGGCCCTCACCATGTCTGTGAGCTCTGCAACAAAGGTACATTCGCAGGGATGCCAAGGGGGCCAGGGATAGAGGGAGGAGGGCACAAAGTTATATCCACCAGGGTGCTGTAGCCAAGAGCTCGTGGCATTTAGAACACTTTAGGAAGCAAGCAAAGCAAGACTGGGGACAACTGAGCATCACTAAATTGTAAGGGCTATGGCAGCAGGAGATAACATACCAGAAAAATTCAACCTTCTGTGCGCCTGCAAGTCAGTGGGAGTGGGGTTGGGTGCTTTGGGAAAGGAGCAGTCAGGAGAACCAGTCCCCAGGTTGGGAAGGCAAGGTTTCAGCTGCACAGCCACAAGTTCTTGTCTCCAGCTCCTGGGGTAAGTGGAGTAGGTTGGAGGGGTTTAACAATTGCACATCTTGCCCCAGTCACAGAGAAAGCTGCTTTAAACACACCTGTTCACTGAGAAACTGGGCTGAGACTGGGGGGGTGGGCAATGGAGGGAGGGGACACAGCCGTCTCTGCTGAGAGTTAACCTTTCAAGTAGCTAGAGATCACTGCCCGAACATCTTGGGAGAGTTCTCCCTCCATCAGAAACAAAGCTCTGCAGGTGCCGAGGCTGAGAAAGGCACCACTCCAAACTGGGCCCCAAGCTTAGTGAGAGGCTGTCCACACCAGCCCCAGCAGAGTAGTTGGCCCCAGCCTAGCAAGGATGTGGTGGGAGGAGGACAGGGCCATCTGAGGAGGGTGTCCCCAGCCTAGGAGAACAGCCCCGTCTCTGGGGTCTCCACCTGGCTGACCCCCCCACACCCCACCCCAATCCGCCCCCATAGGCTTCACCACGGCAGCATACCTGCGCATCCACGCGGTGAAGGACCACGGGCTCCAGGCCCCGCGGGCTGACCGCATCCTGTGCAAACTGTGCAGCGTGCACTGCAAGACCCCTGCCCAGCTGGCCGGCCACATGCAGACCCATCTGGGGGGGGCCGCCCCCCCTGTCCCGGGTGATGCCCCCCAGCCACAGCCCACCTGCTGAGGGGGACCCCTGCACCCACCAGGCAAGGCGTGGGGCATGGCTGCGGAGAGGGCGGGATGGGTTGTGTGGGACAAGGGGGCTCAAAGGGCCCAATTAGGGGATCTCAGGAAGGTCAGGGATGCCCATCCATCACCCACGTTAGGGAGACTTGGGGGTCAGGGAGGGCCCTGCAGGAGAACTGCTCTGCCTGGGTAAGGAAGGCAGGACAAAGCCTCTGGGGACCAGATAGGAAGTGAGCAACGGCTGTGTCCCAGGGGAAGTAGTCGGACAGTCTGGGGTAAGGGGCATGGCTCTTGCCATTCAGGTTGTGCTGTGATCCTTGGTATTTCTCACTGCAGGTACTGGTGAGGTTTGTCCTATGGCAGCAGCAGCAGCGCAGCGGCAGCAGCAGCGGCAGCGGCAGTCGCAGCCCCTCCCACAGCTGTGGGCTCCCTCCCTGGGGCCGAGGGGGTGCCAGTGAGCTCTCAGCCACTTCCCTCCCAGCCCTGGTGAGCTCCAAGTTGGTGGGGGAGAAGGGAGAGTGGAGGAAAACCCCTTGGTACAGTCTCCTCCCCTCTCTTCCCACCAACTCCTCACTATTACCCACCAACCAAGGAGCCTCCAGAAGGAAAGGAGGAAGAAATGTTCTTAGGGGAATTCTCTAGGTTTTAACTATGTTTCTCCTGCTCCTCTTTACTCCCTGTCAGAGCTGACCCTACACACACCTGTCCCCTCAGTTGTGTTGAAGTCCCCTGGACAGTGGGCAGGGGTGGCAGAGGAAAGGAGCAGCCACTGCCCTCACCCCTCTCCTCTCTGCAACCCCCTGCCCTTCCCTCCTAGGGATTTGTGAGCCTTTTCCTTCAGTGGTCCTTCTCTTCTTCCAGCCCTCTCCCTCTACTGTCTGCTGCCCCTCCCTGGGGAGTTGGTGCTTTCTTTTTGTTGTTGGTTTTTTTTTTTGTTTGTTTGTTTTTTTTTCTCCCAGGGGGAGGGAGGAGAGGAAGGAGGGGAATCAAAGATTCTGTCCCAGAGAGGGATATGTGGAGATTTGAGAAGGGGCAGAAGCAGGGAAAGCATTAAGTTGTACTTTCAATAAGATAGGGTTGTTGGGGTTAGACCCTAAATATCATCCTACTTGAAACTCTGTCAGGGGAAAAAAGTCAAAGAAGGGGAGCAAAAGGAGCCACTGAGGGCCAGAGGCAGAACAAGAGATGGAATCTTAGGGGGCCAGGGTAAGGGAGGGGAACCAGGGACTAGAGGTGCTTCCTGGGAGCGGGGGAATGCAGCCACAGTGTCTCCCCCTTCCCTCTTCCATCCCAGCTCCAGCCCTGGTCTTTCCTTTTCATCCCTCTTCCCCACGACAGAAGCTGTGGCCCTGGCCATGTCATCGTGTTCCTGTGTCCCCCGCATGTTTCCCACCCTCCATTCCCTCCTTTTGCGCGGACCCCATTACAATAAATTTTAAATAAAAACTTGGCTCTGGTTCTGGGTTGAGTGTCCTCACCAAGCCTGTGCTCTCCCCCCACCCCCAAAGTAGGTGTCAGTTGTACCTTGCCTCACCTGAGGTGGCTCTAGGGCCAAGGCTGCAGGGGCTGTGGGGCAAGTGCCAATACTCAATCTGGACAGGCCCTAAATAGCAGCTGAAGAGGTCCAGGTGGGACATCTAAGCAGCTCCTGGGATACAAATGCTGCCTTCCACCAGTGATAACTGTCCCCTGCTTCCCAGACTCCAGCCATTACTGCACTTGCTTAAATCTTGGAAAGTGGTTGTGGGCGAGGGAATGCAGAAAGGTTGCAGAGGTTTGAGCCCTCGGCTGGGAGCTGTAAACCTGAAAAGAGGGAGCAGAGGGCTCCAACCCCTCCTGCTGTTCCAGGCTGGTCCTGCAGCATCTGCCTTTCCCGCTGGAATTTCCTCTCTAGGCCTTGTATCCTTTTCCCTGGACCCTTTTACTAAGTCTTCCAGTACTTATTGCTCCTGCTGCTCCCGTGAAGAGACTTCTGTTCTATAAGCTTCTTTCTCTTGAAAGCTCACCCTGCTCCTCTGCAGCGTCCCCAAATTTTGCCCAATCTCCCTGACCCCTCTTCATGCTGTGGGGGTGCCTCCACCTGGTCCTGCCTGTCTTCGCTACTCCCGTCTCGAAAACCCGGGTCTCTGCCAGGAACCCCGGTGACCGTTGGCGGGAGGGGTCAAGGACTTGGGAAGGGGGTGCCCCGCCGGGAGGTGCGCGTGGAAAGGGTCAGGGAGGGAGCGCGAGTGGTCCCCGGACTGGTTGTCCTGGTAACACAGGGCTTGGCACGCGAGGCTCCCTTGGGCTGGCCGGGAGGGGCCGGAGGCGTGCAAGGGGCGGGAGGGGCGGGGGCGGCGCGCGTCGGCAGTAGAGCGTAGGGGAGGGGACCAGAGAAGAGGGGACGAGCAAACGCTAGGAGAGAAGAGGGGAGACCCGCCGCCTCCCTCCCTCACTCGCTGACTTGCTCCCTCCCGGGCTGCGGCTGCAGCAGCGGCGGGGCTCAGGAGCAGTCTGGAGGCCGGCGTCGAGGTGAGGCTGGGACAGGCTGAGGCTAAGGGTAGGAGTAGACCGACAGACAGCCGAGTTGAACAGGAATGCTGGCGCTTGGCGAGCTGAAGGGTGGTGCTGGGTGCTCCGCACCATGGGGAGGAGGAGGTGCCGACCCGCAGGGCGAGGGAATTCCTGGGAGAGGGGCTGAGAAGGGGATCAGAGATGCCCAGGTCCTCTGGAAGTGGTGGGGGTGTCTGTCCTCCAAACGCGCAGCTAAAAAACCCGCACCTCTCTGGCGCCCAGGGAGGAGGGGAGGGTACAGAGGGAGTGGAATATGTTGGGTCTCCTGCCCAGTCTGTCTGTGGGAGCGTCCGATGTCTGCATAGCTTGTTGATTTGGGGGTGCTGTAGCACCTGCTGGGATCTGAGAGTCTGGATCGTGTTGGGCGTGTTGGGTGGACCCAGGAAGAGACCCTGGGGAGGGGAAGGTCCTGTTTATAAAAGGGTTTATTTTCCCAAGGCTCTCTCCAAGCAAAAGACTAAGTAGAGTGCTTCCTCCTCAGGGGTGTCCCACTCCAAGGCAAAGGAAACCCCAACTTTTCTTCCTCTCCCCAGAGATACTACAAGGCTGGCTCTGAGGAGCCTGGCCCTCTTGGGCCTGCAATGCCTGGCACCCCTCTTTCCTCACATCAAGCCTGTCTTCCTCCTCTTCCAGGATTTGCTACTGTCTCTGCTGTTCCCTCCTCCCCACAGGGGCTCTCTCCCCTCTCCCATCTCAAGATGGCAGCCAGCAGCTCTGAGGTCTCTGAGATGAAGGGGGTCGAGGAAAGTCCCAAGACCCAGGGAGAAGGACCTGGCCATTGTGAAGCTGGAACTGGCCCTCTCCAAGTCCCAGCAGAGGTCCCAGAGCAGCCAGCCATTCTGCAGCCAGGCCCAGACTCCACTGCAGCCCCTGTGCACTCAGGGCCCAAGGCTGGTCCAGCCCCTGAAACCACAGAGACCCCAGATGGGGCCCCAGAAACAGTCCAGGCCACAGACCTCAGCTTAAACACAGGAGAGGAATTAAAAAACAGCTCCAGCCCTGAAGATACATGCCAAGAGCCAGTATCCAAACCAGAAGTGAACAAAGAGGCTACTGCAGAACAGGGGTCCAAGCAGGAGTCTGCAGCTCCTCCTAAGCCAGCCTCCGAGGAGCCTGCTCCCCAACTAGAACCCCAGTCAGACCCTCAGCCAGTTTCCCAGCCCTCCCCCAAACCAGCTCTTCAGCCATCACCCCCTACCCAGGAGGACCCCACCCCTGAGGTCCTGACAGAGAATAAGGTGGAAAAGCAAGAGAATGGGGCAGTGGTCCCTTTGCAGGCTGGTGATGGGGAAGAGAGCCCAGCCCCCCAACCTCACTCACCACCTTCAACAAAACCACCCCCAGCCAATGGAGCTCCCCCCAGAGTTTTGCAGCAGCTGGTTGAGGAGGACCGAATAGGAAGAGCTCACAGTGGGCATCCGGGATCTCCCCGAGGTAGCCTGAGCCGCCATCCCAGCTCACAGTTGGCAGGGCCAGGGGTGGAAGGGGGCGAAGGTACCCAGAAACCTCGGGACTACATCATCCTTGCCATCCTGTCCTGCTTCTGCCCCATGTGGCCTGTCAACATCGTGGCCTTCGCCTATGCCGTCATGGTGAGCCCCAGGGGACCCTGACCCAGGCTTGCTGTGGCTCACAGCTTCCAGCCATTGCTGGGACAGAGCCCTAGGAATAACCACGCCTTTCCTCCCCCTGTGCATGGATCCTTTCACAGAGTCTTTTGCTTGCCTCTCCCCAGGACCCAACCCTCTGTGCCACCACTGCCCTACCCTTTTGGCGGGAGGGACCCTGAGACATGTTTCACTTCACCTTGCTGACCTCTGCCCTCTTCCTCCTGCCTCCCCAATCCTTCTTGGACTCCAATGGGGCTGGCCTCTCTTCCTCTGGACAACTCTAACCTGATCCGTGCTGGGCTGGCTGCTCCTGACCTGGGCACCTCTCACCCTAACCCCAGTCCCGGAACAGCCTGCAGCAGGGGGACGTGGATGGGGCCCAGCGTCTGGGCCGTGTGGCCAAGCTCTTAAGCATCGTGGCGTTGGTGGGGGGGGTCCTCATCATCATCGCCTCCTGTGTCATCAACTTAGGCGGTGAGTGGGGGTCTGGGACAGGCAGGGGAGGAATGGAAGGGTTGACAAGGGCAGCTTTACTAACCCCTGCCCCTGCTCTCTCCTGTCTGTCCTCCCCAATTCTTTGTCTCTCTTTCTCCCTCCCCTGTCTCTGTCCTTTCCTCTCCTCTCCCACAGTGTATAAGTGAGGGGCTCTGCCCTGCATTCCAAGACTTTTCTTCCTGTTGGGAGCTGCCTTGGGCCAATCCCTTCCCTGGGTGAAGGCCAATTGATGGCCCTGGCCCCCATCCCTAGGGACCAAGGGAGCCTGAGCGGCCTTGTTTACAGCTTCTTTCCTGTTCCTGCATCCTGCCAGGCTCCTCTGCCAACCGTAGGCCTCTCTTCTCCCTGCACTGTTTCCAACCTCCTTGCACTTATGCCTGCGGATGTCCCCTCCTCCCTCTTGGCCTCCCTAACCCTGCACTTCTGGAAACCTCCCTGCACTTATCTCCCAGACTCTGTGCTCTTGGCCTCCCTGCATCTCTCCCAGCCTCCCTGCACTTCTTCCAGCCTCCCTGCACTTCTTCCAGCCTCCCGAATCCTCTGAACCTCCACCTTGGCCTCCCCCTCTCAACTGTCATTGTCTTGGCATCTAACCCATTCCTTTTCTCTCCTCCCTTCTTTAACATCTTCCCTCCCCTTTCCACATCCCCGCCCCCTTCCTTTCTGCCTCCTCATCTTCCCTTAGCATCCTCTTCTCCACCCTCCTGCCACCACTTATTCTGCAAAAACTCCAGCACTTAGATCAGGCTAAGGAAAGGGGAGGGCGGTGTCTGGAAAGGGCTACCCAGCCCGGGGGCTCTGACTGTTCTCTGCCGGGACCACCCAACCCCGAACCTCCCAGGCACCTACTGGGTGGCAGAGGGTGGGAGTCCAGGTTGTGAACGTCCAGGGGAGGATAGAGGACACGGCGGCTGGAAGGTCGGCCGGAGCTGACCCGCTCACCTGGACTTTTTAACCTCAGAGTTTTCTGTTTGGAGGTGTCGGGGACTCGGGCCATTCACGTGCTTTGTTACTGAAGAATCCAAAAAATAGGACCAAAGCTCCCAGCTTCAAGGAGCGAGGGAGGGGCAGGGGAGCTCTATAATTTCTTTCTAAAAGGACGAGGGAGATTTGTTGCACGCGACAGCCCGCTGAGAAGGCAGGGAGCCAGCGGTTCGGAGTTGGCGGGTTTTTTGTTTTCTAAAAATGTCTGGAGGGAAAAACTAAAATTCCTTAAAAAAAAAAAGATATATCAAACTGATTCTCCCTTTTTTGTATGCTGGATGCTGCATGAGTCTGAAACACCAATAAACGGAGACTGCATGAGACTCGCCTTCAGTCTTGGTCCCTGCGTTCGCTAGCCTGACCAGGGCACTGCTTTCCCGGCAGAACCTGGTGGGCGGTGTACGCATGCGCCGTCGCGGTAGCCATCTTTACTGTGGGCCGAAGCCTCTTGTGCCGGAGGGCTTACCTGCGCATGTGCAAGCCTTCCCTTGCTTTCCTCTTCCAAGTAGCTTTGACTAGAGCGGAACCTCCCGCGCCATTTCTGTGCGCCTGCGTACTGTGACCCTGCGCAGCCCGGGAGGCGGGTCTTAGCTCCAGGTGCGTACGGCGACTGAATTGGCGCGGCCCAGAACTAAGAGGTCCGGGGAGAGGGTGCTGGGTCCAGGTGTGGAGAGGGTGGTGTGAAGGCCAGAGGAGTGGTCCCGCCCCTCTCCGCTCGGAAAGTGGTTTCCGCGGGTCCCTGGGAAATCAGAGTGGGGAATCTCCATCCGCGGCGCGGGGGTCTCCATCCGCGGGGTGGGGTCCTTCCTTGCAGGGATCTGAGCGCCCCCTCTTGGGGCAGTGCTCTGCCGGCTGAGACAGCCATTGGAGCCTAATTGGCTGGAGAGATATTTCCTAAACCCACTATATTGCTGGACCCCTTCGCTAGTGGACTATGTCCCTTGCCCGGGGTCATGGAGAAATTGCAGCCACCACCGCGGCGCCTCTGTCCGAAGAAGGGGAAGTGACTTCCGGCCTCCAGGCTCTGGCCGTGGAGGATACCGGAGGCCCCTCTGTCTCGGCCAGTAAGGCCGAGGAAGAGGGGGAAGGAGGCCAAGAGGAAGCAGAGCGTGAGGGGTCCGGGGCCGAGGAGGCACAAGGAGAAGCCTCCAGCGCTGGCGGGGAAGAGCATGCCGAGGGAGAATCCGAAGACTGGTGCGTGCCCTGCAGCGACGAGGAGGTGGAGATGCCCGCGGATGGGCAGGCTTGGATGCCCCCGCCCTCTGAGATCCAGCGGCTTTATGAACTGATTGCTGCTCACGGTACCCTGGAGCTTCAAGCGGAGATCCTGCCCCGCCGGCCGCCTACGCCGGAGGCCCAGAGTGAAGAGGAGAGATCGGATGAGGAGCCGGAGACAAAAGAAGAAGAGGAAGAAAAGTGATTCCAGGAGGAAATGGGGAGGGGAAAAAAAGCGGGGCTCAGGAACGCAGAAAGTGGAGAGAGGGATGAGGGTAGGAAAGGAAGAGCCAGCACTGCGGAAAAGGGTATGTGGGTGTTTGGGAAAGCCACTCTCACCTGTCACTCTCTGTCCCTCTGCGCTAGACCCCATATGCCAACGGAATTTGACTTTGATGATGAGCCAATGACACCGAAGGATTCCCTGATTGACCGGAGACGCACCCCAGGTACAAACAAGAGGGAAGAGTTAGGGGAAGGTGAAAGGACCTCTCCTAGTCACCCCAAAAGTGGCTCCCTTAAAGAGACCTTTGCTAGGTGTCTTGGCTGCCACACCAACTCAGCTGCTGGAGGAGAATTCACATTGTGCACCGTTTTTCTGGCTTAGGTTAAAGCCCTCCCTTCCTGATCGTTCTACTAGGTTTCCCGGTTCCTTCCATCTTCTCCCCAGAAGCCCAAGTCCTCCTGGTTGTTATTGTCTAGAGCCACAGCCCTGTACTACTGTGTGCATCACCTAATGGGGCCAGCTTCTCCCCCCTCAGACCTTTCTAGAATTTACTCTTGGAGGCATCCTTGAGTTCTCTCTCTCTTATCGGGACAGTCAAATCAGCAACAAGTCCCATTGGCTCTGCCTCCATGTTTCCAAGTTCATCTGCTGCTTTTCTACCTTCAACTACACACTCTCATCTAAGCCACTATCTCCTTGGACAGTTGCAGTAGCTCTTGTGTGATTTCCCTGCTTCCACTCTGAGCATTCAAAGTAGTTACTTTCTCTGTTTAAAGTGGGGGGGGGGGGCAGGACACATCAAGGGAGAATCTAAGCTCCCATTCTTCTCTGCTCTGCATTGTTCTTTGAACAAACCTCTATTCCTGCCCCCCAGGGCCTTTGCACTTGCCTCTTCCCTGGTCTTCATGTTACTGGTGACTTGATAATTCACAACCTTCATTGCCCGCTTTATTGGTGCCCAACCCCAAACCTTAGAATTTCCAGGCAAGGACCTGGAAACCAAGCCTGGAAACGTGTGTGTGTGATTTGGGAGGGGGTGGTACTGGGGTTTGAATTTACAGCTTCGAGCTTTGAATTCAAGGCAGGTTGTGCTGTACTTTTTAAGTCATGCCCCCAGCCTGGAAACTTGTATGTTAAGCAACTTCCAAGTGTAAGCTGCAGCAGAGTTGGTGCACACTGCTTCAATCCTGTCCACATTTCCTACCTTCCTCTTTTTCAGGAAGCTCAGCCCGAAGCCAGAAACGGGAGGCCCGCCTGGACAAGGTCCTCTCAGACATGAAGCGACACAAGAAGCTGGAGGAACAGATCCTTCGGACTGGAAAGGACCTTTTCAGCCTGGAGTCAGAGGACCCCAACCCCGCCAGCCCCCCACTTCGGTCCTCGGGAAGTAGTCTCTTCCCTAGGCAGCGGAAGTACTGACTGTTGTTGCTACTGCTTCCAAGTGCAGAGACCATACCTGCTGGGCGTGTGTGTGTGTGTGTGTGTGTGTGTGTGTGTGTGTGTGTGTGTTTCTGTTGAACATCTGTTTGGAGACCTGGGCTGGGCGTGTGTGTGTGTGTGTGTGTGTGTGTGTGTGTTTCTGTTGAACATCTGTTTGGAGACCTGGGCTGGATTTTCTGGATTTTAAATAAAAGATGCGGAACTATCTTCTCCTCAGAGGAGGGGCTGCAGCTGGAGCTTAAACAGTTGGCCACACTTGAGCACAGAGGCAGGATTGTATTCACCCAGATTGGAAAATTAGAGCCAGATGGGGCAAAGGCAAACTCAGCCAGCATCTGTCTCCCTATCTTGGACCCTTTGACCCTTCCTAGTCTCATTCCAACATTGCCAACTGACTTTTGGTCAGAAATTCTTGAGTGTTGAATGAGCTGTGCCTTCAGCAGCAGCCAAAGGAGCCCAGAGGAGAAAATGAACACCAGCTGAAGAGGCCCTTTAAATACTCAAGCCCCGCCCCCTTCTTTCCCCGCCCTGCCTTGCCCTGCCCAGTCCTGCTGGGAAGTGATACCCAAGGCTGGTGAGGGAAGTTTCCTGACCTCAGGAGTGCCTAGCTGTCCCGCTGCTGGATGTGAGTATGTTGTGCTGACCCCAGACCCCAAGACAGTGTGGCTCTGTGCCCCCCAGGGCTCTCTAGCCCTGTCTTGCTTTCTAGGGCCTTGCTTCTGCTGGGGCAGTGAGACCTTTATCAGGAAGAAAGGAGGGTGGAGGCTTTGTTTTGAGAGGTTTCACTTTCCTTGCTGCGATTTTCTGGATTTTGAAGCTAGCGTCCCTGCCTTCCAGATCTCGGGTCTTTCTTGACTTCAGGGCCCCCTAGAGGTCAAGTGGAAGACTTTGTCAGGCGTGGTTCCAGCTACTGTGGAGGCTAAGGCAAGAGGATCCCTTGTGCCCAGGAGCTCTGGGCCAACCTATGCAACATAGGGAGACCCCATCTCTTCCAAAAAAAGAGAAAAAAAGCCAGGCGTCGGTGGCTCAGGCCAGTAAGTTGCTACTCAGGAGACAGAGATCAGGAGGATCGAGGTTCAAACCCAGCTCAGGCAAATCGTTCATGAGACCCTATCTCGAAAAAACCCTTCACAGAAAAGGGCTGGTGGAGTGGGTCATGGTGTAGGCCCGGAGTTCAAGCCCCAGTACCACAAAAAATAAAGGGGGGGGGGTTGGTATGAAGGTGTGTGTAGCTCAAGAGGTAGAGCAGTCTGTGTTTAGTCCCCAGTACTATAAAAGAAAAAATTGGGTGTGTCTTGGGGTGTAGTTCAGTGGCAAAATGCTTGCCTAGAATGTCCAAGACCCTGGGTTCAGCCCACAGCCCCACAAGAAAAGAAAGACGGCGGGGGGCGGGGAGGGGGTGGTGTTGTGGATCTTATGGGATCCATTCAGATTGCGTCTTGGAGTTTGACTGGTCCTTGGCTATCCTCACTTGTCCTCACCACCTAGGGACCTGGGCTCTGGCCTTTCCACCATGAGCGCCTAGAATGTGAATTGTGCCCATTGAGACCCTTCAACTCTGCCAGTTGTCAGACTTCCGTGCTACACTGTACAGGGCTGGGCCAAGTGTGGGCCTTCGCAGATCACGTGAGAAGTTACTAGCAGAGTGAGCTGAAGGAAGGCCTGGTTTCTAGAAAGTGCAGAGAAGTGAGCAAGGCTCTTTTCTTTTGGAGAGGAGGAAGTGAACAGTAGGAAGCTCAGTTGGATCCACCAGCCTGAGGTTTAGGGATCTTGAGCTGTAGTGGGGCTGATAGTGAGGTGATGATCCCTACATGCTCTGCTCCCTGCCTGGGTGGACCCCTGGAATGTGGGGAGAAGACTGGCTGTCAACATGGATGCCAGGTGGCTCTCCCTGGAAACTCCTGCCTGTTTCTGCCTTTGGCACATAGGGCACTTGACCTGCCCTAGGGTGGGTCCTTTGGCCAGGACAACTCTCCTTGAGTAGATGGCCCTGAGATGGCCTGTGGGCTCCCATGTGACTGGGTACTTAGGCCTCCCTGTTGGCTGCCCTCCCAGGTACTGGAGGAGCAGAGGGTGCACACTGGCCAGAGCTGTATAAAACACTAACCTTTGAACTACCACTGGTACTGTTTCCTGAGCAGCACCCAGCCCTACCCAGAGCTGTAAGTCTTTGTTCAGTCTCATTGATGCTTCTGGTCACAATAGCCTGCCAGAGTGGAGTTCTGGCCCTTGAGCAAGTTCATTACCTTCTGGGTTCTCAGGAGGATAAAATGTGCCGAGTAAGGAGACAACATATCACTTGGCACAGATTAAATTGTAAGTAAGTGGGAGCTATTATGTGAGGACCCTCGCCTCAAATACAAGTTCTAGCGTCTCTGGAAACCTTAACCCAGCAGGGCCTGAATGAGGCCTGGGAAGCTGCGTGAGCAGGATTTAAGCATCCCAGTCAAAGCCAGGCGAGGTAGCCAGAGCCTGGATCTCAGCTACTTGGGAGACCTGCAGGAAGATCATTTGAGCCTAGTAGTTCAAGACCAGCCTAGGCAGCATAGTGAGATCCCTTCTTTTTTTTTTTTTTTTTTTTGAGTAAGGGTCTCACTATGTAGCCCAAGTTGGCCTTGAACTCTCAGTTCTGCCTCCCAGTCCTGAGTGCTGAGATTATAGGGATTATTGAGACCCCTTCTCTTTAAAGAAATAAAATAGGAGAAAGAGAACTAAAAAAAAAAAAAGAAAAGAAAAGGAAAAAAGTGAACAAAAAAAATAAAAATAAAATAGGGCTGGTGGAGTGGATCAAGCAGTAAGAGCACCTGCCGAGGAAGCATGAGGCCCTGAGTTCAGTGCCACCAAAAATAAATAAATAAAATTTAAAAATCTCTTGTTAGGTTCTGGGATTGGGAGACTTTAAGAAACTTTGATCTAGATCAGGGGTTCTGAAGCCTGGTCACTTTGGGTCTACACAATCCTTGCCTTCGATAACTGACACTCAGTAGTGGCATCTGGGAAGCAGAAGAAGGAGCAGAATCCTGGGCTGACAAGACTACTGTGCCCCGGTGAGACCACCAGGCTGCTTACCCTCACAAAGTGACCCCATTGGGCTGCAACTCAGGTTTAAGATTTTCTTAAGAAGGAAAGTTTCTAAAACTTTGCTGCTGAAAAACAAAAAAAAAGTGATTAATCACTGAAAATAATCGCCCAAAGCAGAATGTAGGTATGGGGTTTGAACTCAGGGCCTCAGACTTTCTTAGCAGGAACTCATACTGCTTGAGCCACAGATAGTCTCGCAAACTATTTGCCTGGGGCTGGCTGACTTCAAACTGGGGCTAGGTGTAGTTTTGATAAACCAGGAAGCTGCAGGTGAAACAAGCCCTCTGTAATGCCTAAGTCACGTGACTCATTTTCTAAGCAGACTAGAATGTTTAACTTAAAATCAGTTTCAGAGAACTGCATGGAAAACAGTCCCTATTTATAATAAACTTCATGCACCTTTTCCTAAACCTAAGGTTGGTGTTGATCTGGTGGCAGGATTGGGTCACCACCCTCACCTCCAACTTCAGGCCTGCTTCGACCAAGAGCCCAGGAGTGGAGACAAGGGGGCTGCTTAGAGCTGGGACAGGGAGGACATAGGAAAATAAATGAAAACCCCTGGCTCTGAAGAACAGTCTTGAGTTGAGCTCATCTTAGTTCTTCCTCCTAGCTGCCTTCACTGAGCTCTTACTGTGTGCATTAGCCATGTCTTCCCTTCTGCAACTTCAGAACACACTTTATTCCCATGTTGCAGTCAGCAGAGGAAGGCTCAGTGGTTAGTAGTGGCCCACTGGTCCTCTTTTTTTTTTTTTTTTTTTTTTACAACACTAGAGAGGCTAAAGCAGGAGAGTCATTAGTTGAAATCAGCTTGGACTACATATGAAGTTAAGACTAGTCTGGGCAACGCAGTGAGACTGTCTCAGAGAGAGAGAAGAGAGAGATGAAGAGAGAGAGAGATTGGGACCAGGAATCTCTCTGTTTTGTTTTTTTTGCAGTACTGGGAATGGAGCCCAGGGCCTTGTACATTTTTCCTGGGCATGTACTCTGAAGCCACCCAGAGGCCAGGTCTCAGAGGCAGGGACAGAAAGAGAGCTAGGTGGTGAATGGATTTGGGAGACAGGCCAGTCCTGAGGGCTGGGCAGAACCTTCTGAAGGTCAACACAATCCTTTGCCACTATCTTTTGAGGGCCCCGACATACAAGAAGTAAAAAGTTCTAACCGTACACATCATTTGGTAAGACACAAAAATCTGAGACTTGTCACAAACATGGTGAAAGGGTGTAAAGGCAGGATCTGCTCTGATTGAAATTGGCAAGCAGTCTCAGAGGAAGGCCCAGCTTTAGAGCATGGTGGGGTGTGGTCAGGGAGGTGAGGCAGGGTCCTGGCCCTAAAGCAGGGCTTGGCCTCAGAACAAGGCAAGAGCCCAGGCAGACCAGCCATGAAGATGACTCTTGCTGACTCACTGAGCTGGGCGAGGTGCTCAGCCCCCTGACTGGGCCCAGCTGGGGTGGCAGATGGTGGAGAGGCCTCGGCAGTGGGGGAGTAGGGCCTCATCCAACAAGAAGCCAATGGGGGCTGCTCCCAGAGCCTGCTTCCAGCCTTGCAGGGCGTTCTAGAGTTCACATCTTCCCCCAAGGGACCTCGGAGACTTGTCTGTACCTCCGCCTGCAGCCGGAGCTCTTCCTCTTGCCCCATCTGCTTTCCTGGCCAGGTTTCTACCCCACAGAGAACCTGGCAGAGGAGCCACTGGGAAAAGTTTCCCTTGGCTATAGGAAGCCCCCACTTGGCTGTGCCTCTAGTCCTGCAGCTGGAGGTGACAGAAGATGGTTGCCACCTTCCTGGCCAGTGAACAGTGACAGCTAAGTCAGGATGCCAGGCTTGGGAGAGGTCCATGTGCTGGTCAAGTAGGAAAGTGGAACCTCAGACACTATCCCTCCTCCACGGTAAAACACACAGTGCTTGTGACAAGCCAGGCTCTGCTCTGAGAGCTTTTATATAAACTTGTCCTCACAGCCTTGTTAAGGCAGATACTGTTATCCATCCCCATTTTGTAGCCAAGGACACAGGCACAGGATCTAAGAACTCATCAAATAAAGTTTTGACCTACTGTCTAGGCACTCATTCCAATGGAGTCCTGGAAGTGATGCCTTCCCAGACCCTGTGCAGCCAAGCTGTGCTGGTGGAGTGGCCCAACTGGTAGCACGCCTGCCTAGCAAACCTGAGACCTTGAGTTCAAACCCCAGCACCACAACAAAAAAGGACCCTGTACAGCCAAGCTGAGCAGGATGAACAATTAGGTCAAAGAGGTTCAAGATAGACTAGAGAGAACAAGAAATCAGAAAGGGAAGCTGAAATTGGGAAAGCTCCCCTACCACAAGTTAGGAAAACTAACTTCAAGCAAAAGTTAGTGACAGGAAAGTGGCCAGATACAAGAATGAGGAACAGAATTGCATCCCTCTGTGGCATCCAGGAAAACATCAAAATTGTAATCTGTTTCAAAGGGAAAGGGAGGAAGCAAGGTATGAAACTACAAATGGGAGATTGAATCCAGTTCTCTAACTGGTGTGCCATGCTGCCTTTTGAGAGAGAAGGAACCAGACATCCCTCAGAGTTGGGATTTTTTGTTTGTTTTGCCATATTGTGACTTGAACTCAGAGCCTCATACTTGTTAGGCAGGCACTCTACCACTTGAGCCACTCAGTGTTCTAGTTATGACCACTAACTCTGTGTGGCCCTGAGTGACTCATTATTCCTATCTGAGTCACAACTAGGTAAAGCTAAACTATCTAATATGGTATCAGTCAGCCACATTTGACTATTTAAAATGAAATTAAAAAATAAATTGGGCTAGTGGAGAGACTCAAATGGTAACGTGCCTGCCTAGCAAGCATAAAGCCCTGAGTTCAAACTGTAGTACTACACACACACAAAAAAAAAACTTAGCAGGGCATGGTAGTACATGCTTATAATTCCAGCACTTGGGAACTGAAGCAGGAAAATCAGTGAGTTCAACGCCAGCCTGGACTACATAAGGCGACTCTGTCTCAAAAAAACACAATCGTTGCTGGGGACTGAACCCAGGGTCCCATACATGCTAAGCATATGCTCTACCACCAAGCTACATTCCAGAAAAATTTAGCTGGGGATGTAACTCAGTGGTAGAACATTCATCTACTGTGCACAAGGCCCTGGGTTTGATCCCCAGTAGGGAAAAAAAAAGAAGAAACAGCTTTAGCCAGGTGATGGGGTAGTGTGCACTTATAATTCCAGTACTCAGGAGGCTAAGGCAGGAGGATCGAGAGTTCGAGGCCAGGTTGGGCTGCATCCACAAGACCCTGTATCAAAAAAACTAAAAAAACAAAAGTATGATGGCTGAGAGTGGGGATGTAACTCAGTGGTAAAGTACTTACCTAGTATGATGAGGACCTGAGTCCCACCCCACATTTTAAAAAAAGAGAGAGAGAGAGAGAGAGACAGTCTGGCCATAATCTCTGAAGACAAGGCTCTGAGTTGTCTAGCAAACCTGATTGCCTTTGTCTGACTCAAGAGACATGTCCAAAGTCCAAAAGGTGCCGGATATCAGGATGGTCATTTACTAGGGTATGTGACAATCCTGAACAGGCCAAGTCCGGACAAAACCACCCAGGATTCCAAGGCAGGTCGGATTGGGGGTGGGTGGATACAAAAACCATTTCCGCCCTTTCCCTTCCTCCCCTCCCCACCCTCACCTCTGCCCACAACAACAGACCAGAGAGAGCTGGGAAAGAAAGGACTAGAAAGATTTGCTATGTTACGAATCTGACTCATTCTGGGGACGCTTCACTTCAACCTGGGATCCCTTCCATGATAGACCACACCTGCCAAGACTGTTCAGTGTGCAAGGAGTGGGGGAAGGAGGCAGACGAAGACCATGCAACTATTCTTTGGCCACGGGCCTAACACCGAATACAGCCTGATCCTCAGGGTCCTTGAAATAAAGACTGCGGGCCTTCGGAGGAGCCACAGCTCCCCACCAAGTGCTGGACTAGGCCAAATCTGCCTTCAGAGACTGACCCACCGCCCTGTGCACAGCACTAGAAGTGTGGGAAGGGAGTGACGGAAAGGAAAGGCCTGTGACCTAGGGCTTCCTTGGTTAACTTGGCAGACTGTCCCAGGTGGGAAGAAGGAAGGGAGAGGTAGGCATGGGGATAGGGAAGAGGGAAAATTGAAGCTGGAGAAGGAAGGGCCATCTTCAGACTATATCCCAGGCCTCCTGTTATGCCCCTTCCCCACCTGTTAGTTTTTCTCCTTGCTGCTGTCAGGTTCGCAAGGGACTTGGGAGTCACCATGGCAACCGAAGAGTCTATCATTCGCATCCCCCCCTACCACTACATCCACGTGTTAGATCAGAACAGCAACGTGTCCCGTGTGGAGGTCGGGCCAAAGACCTACATCCGGCAGGACAATGAGAGGTTCGTGTGCTCCCCAGGAGACAAGGGGGGCCTGTTTACCTCCTCTCTGCTTTCAAGTGGAAATGGCCCTCACTTGGGTGGCAGGGAGGTTTCTCCTGCCGCCTCCTTTGGAGGGAGATCTTGGTCCTCACAGTCCTTCTCACCCTCCAACAGGGTGCTGTTCGCCCCCATGCGCATGGTGACTGTCCCCCCACGTCACTACTGCACAGTAGTCAACCCAGTGTGCCGGGACGCCCAGGGCGCAGTGCTCTTTGACGTCACAGGGCAAGTACGGCTTCGCCACGCTGACCAAGAGATCCGGCTGGCCCAGGACCCCTTCCCCCTGTACCCAGGAGAGGTGCTGGAAAAGGTACCTGCCTGACCTCCCATACCACATGCTCTGTGCCACCTTCTGAGGGGAAGACGAATGGGCCATGGGAAGGGCTGGGGAGGGACATTTGCTGGGTCTCACCAGGAGCAGAATTGACTCACTGCCCCTCCACTCACCATCCCTACCATCCCCTTCCTCCACACATGCTCAAAGAAATTTGTCTGTTCTCTAAGGACTGTCAGCCGTCTTCCCACCAGGGTCCAGAGTGTACCAGCAGCAGCCAATCAGGCTTCATAACCTGAGTTGTGCCAAGGTCAAACCCTTATTCACAGTGCCAAACGCTTCAGGCAGTGATAAAGCAGCAATTGCCAAGACTGGTACAGGTGCCTGTGACTGTCCCGTGGGAAGCCATCACAGACCTGGACTTCCAGCCAAGCCATTGTCCATGTTGCCCATGAGCCTGAGCAAGGGGGCATCCTACTTTCATTCCCTTGATGATTCTAAGTTTATCTGCTTGTCACTTTATGCTTTTTAACCCAGGGTTCGTTCCCTGACTAGGGTGACTTCTTCTCTTCCTCCTCCTCCTTCTTTATCTTCCTTCTCCTACTCCTCCCTCCTCTTTCCTCTTCCTCTTCCTTCTTTCCTCCTCCTCCTTCTCCCTCTTCCTCTTCTTCCTTCTCCTCCTTTTTCTTCCACCTTCCTCTTCTTCTTCCTCCTCCTCCTCCTCCTCCTCCTCCTCCTTCTAAAATGTTAGGCATGAAACTCAGGGCCTTGCCCATGCTAGGCCAATACTACCAGTGAGCTAACCTGTGCTGCTTGCTGCTGTATGCCTGGTGGCATGGCTCCCGTTACTCCTACAGATATTTGTGTCCACTCGGATGCAAACAGTTGGAGAGAAGTGTGTGTAGATAGAGAAAATGCTGAAGAATGATTAAAACATTAAACTTTCAGAATTCTGAGTGAAGAGAACATAGGAATTCCTTTCACTATTCTTACTACTTTTCTTCCAGTCTGAAACTGCCAAAATGAGTTTCTGGGGTTTTTTGTTGTTGTTTTTCCTAAAAAATTCATATCCAATCTTCCTTCAGACCAGCCGAATCCTGCTCTGGGTGGGGAGCAAAAGAGGTGAAAGTAGTTGGGTACCAATATTTAGAAGCTCTCCAGGGCTGAGAAGCAAATCTTCCCCATCCCTGGCTTTTTAAACCTCACTTCTCTAGTATGCAGCTCATTCTCTCAAACCTCACATGTCCTACACCAGCGATGCCACACAGAAGGTCCTTTCCTCGTTATCATCCTTGCTCAGCTGGGCGTGGTGGCACAAGCCTGTAAATTCTGGCACTTGGGAGGTTCAAACACAAGGGTGGAGAATTTAGGGCCAGCCTGTGAGACCCTGTCTCAAAACAACAGCGACAACAAAAAATACTCCCTCCTTCAGGTATCTACCATCTGAGGGTGACACCTGGCTCAACCTCTCTCAGTAATGATCCTGTGAACACTTGGCCACCTTCTCCTTCTTCTCCTTTTTTTTTTTTTTTTTGAGTGAAGCAGTGGCTGTGCCTCAGGCTGACCTTGAAATCCTGGGCTTATGCGTTCCTCCTGCTTCATCTTCCTGAGTAGCTGGGATGAATGTGTACCATCGTGCCTGGTTTTAATGCCCCTCCCACCAGTATCAGGGATTGAACCCAGAACCTCAAACTTGCTAAGCAAGCGCTCTGTCTACCACTTGAACAAAAGTGGCCTCTACCAAGGCCTTTTGTTTTTATTAATTTTTTAAAAATAGAGTCTCACTAACTTTGCCTTGGCTGGTCTCCACCTTCCTTCCTCTGCCTCTCGAGGAGCTGGGATTATAGATAAGCATCATCACACCCAGCTTAATTTTGGCTTTTTGTTTTTCGGTTTTTTAATGACGCTGGGGTTTGAACTCAGGGCCTCACACTTGTTAGGCAGGTGCTCTTACCCCTTGAGCCACTCTGCCAGCACTTAACTTGGCTTTCTTGATCCCAAATTTTGACCTTAATCACTAATGGTCTTCTTTAGTGCCACGTCCACTATGGACTTGGTTATGCTCTCACCTGACCACTCCTCCCAACCTAAATTGCAGCCTCTTCCCTCCCACCCTTCCTCTCTCACCCCTCCTCTCCTGTCCTGCCCTCCAGACTTCCCACCCAGCCTTCCCTCCCACCCCTGATCTGTTTTTCCTACCCTGTTTGACTTTCTCATTTCAACACTTCCCATAAACACTTGCTTGTGCTCTCCCCCTGCAGCAAAACCCTAATTTTATGATCAGGGTCATCTCTCACCTACCCTTCCCTCTCACAGCCAGAGGGGTTTCTTGCTAAAACAATCTGACAGTGGCAGGTCTCCCACCACACTGGTGTTATAAATAACTAACAGTTTCCTTGGTTCATTCAGACCCATGGTTCATCAGCTCTCTTCCTTTGCTGCCAGTTTTCTCTCTTTCCCCCCTGCCCCCACTACTGGAGTTTGAACTCAAGGCCTTCACCTTGAGCCACTCCACCAGCCCTTTTAGGTGAAAGGTTTTTTGAGAGAGGGTCTTACGAACTATTTGCCCAGGTTGCCTTCGAACCTCAGTCCTCCTGATCTCTGCCTCCTGAGTAGCTAGGATTACAGGTGTGGGCCACTGGCACCTGGCTAATCTTATTATTATTAAATTTTTTTGGTGGGACTGGGGTTTTGAATTCGGGGCTTTGTGCTTGCAAAGCAGGTGCTCTATCCCTTGAGCCACACCTCTGCAGCCAGTTTTCTCATCTGTGTTTCTCTCTGCTTCTAAATATTCCTTCTCATCTCTCTTCCTATTTTTATCTCGTATTCCCTTTTTTTTTTGAGGCAGGGTATCCCTATGTATCGGAAGTTGTCCTTGAACTGGAGATCTTCCTGCGCAGCCCTCCTGAGTGCCAGGAGTACAGGCGTGCACCTGCTCAGCTCTCCTGCCCACTGTGTGACAACTTGTACTTGACATTCTCTACCCTATTCCTTCATAAACTTCTGCCTCCACCTCTACTGAACTTGGCTTTGGCAAAGCCCGCAGACATCCTGTCTGTCAGGTCCAGTAGGTTGCCATTCCACCCTCACAGTCCTTCTCAGGCACATCGATTGTTGATCTACTCTTATTAAAGTATCTCTTTAGTGGGCATGGTGGCACACACTTGTAGTCCCAGCACTTGAGAGGCAGGAAGATCACGAGTTTGAGGCCAGCCTGGGCTACCTAGAGAGACCGTGTATCAAAAACAAACAAACAAACATGCCTTTACATTTTATTCTCTAGATATCTTTTTCCATCTTCTTAGATGTCCTTCCCTGTTTCCCTATCACCTCCGCCTTCAAGTTCTGTCCTGAATGTCTCATGTGTCCTCACCTTCTTGTGGCCCTCCCTGCTTTACACTGAAGACATCTAGCTCTATACTCAGCTGTTAGGTTCCCTAACCACAAGACATCTTCTCCTGGATGTCCCACAGCCATCTCCTACAGACATGCAAACCTAACTCTTTCCTATCCCCCAACTCTGCTCTTCTCCCTTCCTTAATTGGTGACATTACTTGGCACTCAATTTCCCAAGCTGGGAGCCTGCAATGGTGCAGGGACAAACTGGACTGAGACAAGCTTACACCTGAGCTTTGTGTTGGAACACACAGAGGGTGATAGTCTGGTGAATGCAGAAGGTGAGCACGCACCAGACCTGATCTTCCCAGAACGCCACCTTTTCCTTCTTCCACACCTGTGTAGCAAAGCCAGCTCTCTGTTCACCCCTGCTCAAAGGGCCTCCTAGCTTCCCCAGCTTCTCCCTCAGCTGCATTTTGGCAGCATTGGAGAGAATGGTAAGTGCCTCATCTCCTCACCCTGTTGGAACTGCAGCTTCACCCCTAGGGGCTGAGTCAAGAGTGCCATGCACACAGAAGGGGAGCCCAGAAAGCGAGCCTCCAGCTCTGCCTCTCTCCAGCTCAGTGTGTGGCCGGTGGCTATTCCTCTTGGCCTGCCTCGCCTTGCCTCGCCTCACCTTGTGCAGCCCAGGGCCAGCCTAGGTGGTATAAGGAGCACAGAGTTTGAGTCTTATGCCATTCCTCGCCAGCTGTGTGACCCTGATCATGTCCCCAACCTCTCTGAGCCTTTTTCTTTCCTGCCGCTCTTTGAACATTGCCAAAGTTCAACTGAGGTCATGTTTGTAGAGATATTTCTACAAACTTTTAAAATGTCTGTCTACTTTTGCCAGGTCCCCTTTCATGACAGAGAGAGATGTGATGACTGGAGTATAATGGCTATCTTATGACCATGAGGCAAACTCCGTAACAAAGTCATATGCTTAAAACTTGCCTGTTATACCAGTTTATACACTCCTACCTTCTTATACTTCCTAGAGAGCATCAGTGCACACCAAGCCATGAAACAGTCATTTGTTCAATTTCCTAGGTATTTCTTCCATATCTTCTGCTAAGCTTTCCACCCAGTCTCTTAGTAGAATATCAGCTGTACAACTTACTTTCTTTCTTTTTCAGTATTGGGGTTCTAAACAATCCCTAAGCACTTTCCACAAAGGACAGGGTGTTCAGGGTGTTCTTGGCTCCTCAGCAATGGTGTCTTCCTGCCCTTGGTTCCTCAGGACGGCCTGAAACTGGTCCAATCTTGCACATTCCACCATAACTGATGGCACGGGGCTGGGCTGTGGCTCAGTGCATACACAAGGCCCTGGTTCCGTCCCCAGCACCACACACTCACAGATTGAGGCGGTTGACATGGGGGCTCTGACCTCCAGAGTGGCAGGTGTGACCCCTGTGACCCCTGAGGTCACAGCACCAAACACCACATGGCCCTTTCTTCTCTTCCTAGGACATCACCCCGCTGCAGGTGGTTCTGCCCAACACTGCCCTGCACCTCAAGGCTTTGCTGGACTTTGAGGATAAGAACGGAGACAAGGTGTTGGCAGGAGACGAGTGGCTGTTTGAGGGACCAGGTGAGTTATCTCCCTGGCAGGCTCGGTCCAGCTCAGGGCTTCTGCTCTCCCACTGTGGCTCTGACATCCGACCCTCAGCCTCGGCTTCATCCTCCCTTTCCAGGCACATACATCCCCCGGAAGGAGGTGGAGGTCGTAGAGATCATTCAGGCCACGATCATCAGGCAGAACCAGGCCCTTCGCCTAAGGGCTCGCAAAGAGTGTTGGGACCGGGACGGCAAGGAAAGGGTGACAGGTGGGGCCACCAAGGGGCACTGCTGGTGGGTAAGCAGGAGGAGCCTGCCTATAGGGGGAAGTAGGGAAAGCTACTTGACTGGGGGGAAGGAACTTCACAGGTGTCCCTGTTTCTGTCTCTCTCTCTGTATCTCTGTTTGAGGCAGGGTCTTGCTCTGTAGCCCAGGCTGGCCTCAAACTCTCAATCCTCCTCTCTTACCCTCCCAAGTGCTTGGATTACAGGTGTTCACTACCCCACCTACCTCCCTGTTTCTCTTGAGAGCTACTGAAGGCTGCACACTGCTTCTTCCCCATCGACCCCCAGGTGGGGCTCTGCCCAACCATGATCCCAGAGGCACTGATGTGGCTTCGCCTCCCACCCTTCATGTGAGCTATGGGCAGTGGTATTATCTTACCTGGTTCTAAATCAACAAAACAGATGTTTAAATGCAATGAACAAACACAGTGAATCCTCTGTGCCAGGCGTGGCTCAAATGATTACAGCACAGTCCTCCATTTTCCATATGGCATGGAGGACAGGTTACTGCCCAGGTGAGTGGCTAGGCAGGGCAAGGCTACAGCTTGCTCCCAGGCACTCCTGCTGTTTCAATGAACAAAATGGCATCCACACTACTAGAGGCCTAAGGTTAGTCTCTGGTACTTAAAGAAGGGACACAGGTGTTGGCATAGCAGTGAGTTCAGCATCCCATAGAATATTTATTCATTCATTCATTCAGAGTCAGGGTCTTATTAGTAGCTCAGGCTTCCTCAAACCTTGAACTCAGGGCCCCCCTGCTTTTGCCTCCTCCCAAGAGCCAGGATTATAGGCGTGTACCACCACATCCAGCCTCTAGAAGGGCTTTTTAGACCTGGGGTAGGAGTTTGTTTTCCTTTGGCCTCATAGAAAAGAATGAGTGCAAGGACCTTGTCAGGCCCTTGAGCCTGGTGACAGTGGCATCTCCTCACCTACAAAGTTCAACTGGTTCCCTGTTGTCTGGGATGTGGGAAGGAGCAGATGGGGGAAGGCTGGCTGATTTGTGACCTTTCCCTGTCACCCTTGGCCCAGGAGAAGAATGGCTGGTCCGCTCTGTGGGCGCGTATCTCCCAGCAGTCTTTGAGGAGGTTCTAGATTTGGTGGATGCTGTGATCCTTACAGAAAAGGTTTGTGCTCTGGAATATGGGTTAGTGGACCCTGGGCTGGGAACTGCTCAGAGCAACAAAGAATAGTTGCAGAGCACATGAGAGGAAAGGAGAAGCAGTATTTCTAGCGCCACTAGAGAAAATTTCAAGGTCAGATCCCCTAAGGAGAATCTGGGACACCTTAAAGAGTTGAAAAGCTCTTCATGGTTCACAGAAATTGTCATTCAGATCTGGGAGCATTTTATAGACAGATCTCTGAGGAAGGATGGGAGGAAGATGGAGGGAGGCTCCCCCAATACCCACTGTCCTCTCCTGCAGACAGCCCTGCACCTCCGGGCTCGGCAGAACTTCCAGGACTTGCGGGGAGTGACCCGCCGCACTGGGGAGGAATGGCTGGTGACAGTGCAGGACGCAGCAGCCCACGTGCCAGATGTCCACGAGGAAGTACTGGGGGTGGTGCCCATCACCACTCTGGGCCCCCAACACTACTGTGTGGTCCTCGACCCAGTCGGGCCCAATGGCAAGAACCAGCTTGGACAAAAGCGTGTTATCAAGGTGAGTTGCCCACCGCCTCGGAACCTGCCCTGCAAGCAGGATCGGTGCCCTCAAGGGGCAGGGGACCCTCTCTCCCTTTGCTCCTTCTGTGCCAGGTACACATTCTAGACACACCCTCAGTGCCACTTCATACTTGGGTCCATATGCCCAGAACAGTGTCCTGTTTGGTTCCCTGGCAGCCTCCAGTGTTCCCCTCAGGCCTTAGCACCTGCTGCATCTTCTGAGAAGGCATCCTGACCTCCCGTGCTCAAAGACCCTGGAATTCCCTCCACATTTGCACCTCTGTGTTCAGGACCTCACAGTTTACCCTTCCTCCACCCGCTCTCTGAACGATAGGTGGGAATACTGTGGGCGTACAATGCTGCCTGCAAAGGGCAAAGGCTGGTGGAGTAGTTTAAGCTTTGTGAGCCTGTGGTTCCAAAAAGAAGACATTCAACTTGCTATTATAGCATGAACACAGCCTAGACAATATGGAAACAGGGGCCTACTCCTGTTTTATTTTCAAAAACAGGAGGCAGATCTGGGCACTGGTGGCTCACGCCTGTAATCCTAGCTATTCAGGAGGCAGAGATCAGGAGGATCATGGTTCAAAGCCAGCCGGGCAAACAGTTCGCGAGACCCTCTCTCAAAAAAAACCCACAGGAAAAGGGTTGGTGGAGTGGCTCAAGGTGTAGGCCCTGAGTTCAAACTCCAGTATCTGAAAAAAAAAAAAAAAGTTAAAACAGGACTGTGGCATGGCTTTTGTGGTAGGTAGAGCACTTGTCTAGCAAGCCCTGAGTTCAAACCAACTGATAATAGAGAAGAAAAGAAAAAATGTCAAAACAACCCAAATGTACATCAACTGATGAATGCATTAAAAATTGTGGTATATCCATATAATGGAATGTCATTCTCTATAAAGAGAACAGAAGAGCTGGACAAAGTAGCTCACTCCTGTAATACAAGTTACCCAGGAGGTAGATATCAGGAGGATCACAATTTGACGCCAGCAAAGGCAAAATGTTAGCAAGACTCCATCTCAATCACTAAGACCAATAAAACTGGGTGTGGTGGTGCACACCTGTGGATCCCACCTACACAGGAGGCTATAGACAGGAGAATCTCAGTCTGAGGCTAGCCCCAGACAAAAATGTGAAACCCTATCCGAAAAATAACTAAAGCAAAAAAGGGCTGGGACTCTGGCTGAAGTGGTAGAATGCCTGCCTAGCAAGTGCAAGGCACTTAGCTCAAACCCAGTACCACTGAAAAAAAAGAAAGAGAGCAAGAGAAAGAGAAAGAACTGAAGTGCTTACACAGATAAAATTGAAAATGTCATGGTAAGTAAAAGAAGCTGGACATGAAAGTCCCCATCATAAACTGGGTATAGTAGCATATGCCTATAATCCCAGTTACTTTGGAGGTGGAGATTGGGAGGATAGTGGCACAAGGCCAACCCAGGTAAAAGCATGAGACCCTATCTGAAAAGCAAACAAGAACAAAAGTGGCTAGGGTTGTGACTTAAGTAGTGAAGCACTCGCCTAGCACGTGTGAAGATATTTTCAAGATAGGGTCTTGCAAACTATTTGCCCTGGCTGACTTCAAACTTTGATCCTCCTGATTTCTGCCTCCTGAGTAGCTGGGAGTACAGGCGTGAGTCACCAGTGCCCAGCCAGTGTGATATTTGTATACGTGGGTATGTAATGTGTGATGATCAAACCAGGGGATTAACATATCCATCAACATAAGCATTATCGATGTTTATTTTTCCTCACTCACTCACTCCCAATTTCTTGCTTCCCTCCTTCTTTCAACATGCTCTCACTGTGAAGCCTAGGCTGACCTTGTACTGGTAATCTTCTACTTCCCAAGTGCTAGGATTACAGGTATACGTCACCATGCCCAGACTAGGTTAATTCTTGACTGTTAAGCCTGAGGATCCAGGTTTTGACAGTTTGTAGAATCTTTCAGGACTTGTTGAGGAGATGAGCTTCTGCAGGCATTTGTACAGAGCCTCACTGTGCTATAGTGAGCACATCGCACACAAGCCTGCGATGGTTCAAGGCTGGGGAGGCACCATCAGAGGCACCTGCAGCCCTGGTGGTACCTATTCCTAAGCCCCCTTTCTCCCCACTAGGGAGAGAAGTCCTTTTTCCTCCAGCCAGGGGAGAGGCTGGAGCGTGGCATCCAAAATGTGTATGTGCTGTCAGAGCAGCAGGGACTGCTTCTGAGGGCCCTGCAGCCCCTGGAGGAAGGGGAGGAGGAGGAGAAGGTCTCCCGCCAGGCTGGGGACCGCTGGCTCATCCGCGGACCCCTGGAGTACGTGCCATCGGCCAAGGTGGAGGTGGTAGAGGAGCGTCAGGCCATCCCTCTGGATGAGAACGAGGGTATCTACGTGCAGGATGTCAAGACTGGAAAGGTAACAGCTGAGGGATGGGCGGCTGTCCCTGCTGTGTGACCACAGTGGTGGCTTCCTCTGGGCAACAGGTGCTGATGATGGGGAGAGCACATGGTGGGGGGGGAGGGGACTTCAACAGCATCACAGCAGCAGCTGCCAGACTGGCTGGTAGGTGGGAGGGCGCTCTGTGAGCATTTGTCATCTGTCTTAAATATCCAGTGTCTCATATTAGAAACTCCAAGATGAGCTGGGTGTTGCAGATATTGTTGCACCATAAAGGCCTCTGTAATGTGCCCTGGGGACAATAAGAACCTCTTCCCCCTTGCCATGTCCCAGTGGACTCTTCTTTTTGCCACTTCACCTTGGTTTGACCAAGGACCACAGCTCTAACCTCCTTTCTCTAAGAACCTAGAAACCGGGTGTAATGGGGCTTGCCTATAATTCCAACTATTACAGAGGTGGAGTCAGGAAGACCTCAAGGTCGAGGACAGCCTTGGCTATAGTGAGACCCTGTCTCAAAACCAAAATACAAGTCCAAGGGCTGAGGTTGCAGCTTGGTAGAGCACTTGCCTAGCATGCGCGCTGGGCTCAATCCTCAGTACTGAAAAAAATACAACCTAGAAGTGCTGTTTAGAATCTGAGGGGGTGTTATGTACATTAGGCATTCCCTGGAATCACATCTGTCCCTGTGATGCCCTCCAAGCTGTGCTAGTGAGGAAGATTCTAGAAATAATGGTATCAAATGTTCACTGCCAAGTGCTTCTCTTTGAACTAGACAAATGAAATGTCACTCATTCCTCAACCCCATGAGGTTCCCACTGTCCTATCCATTTTACAGACGGGACTGAAGTACAGGGGGTGCGGGGGCTCACAGACAGTAGAGGTCACAGATTGCAAGCTGAGATTGAGCCTGGGCTCACTGCAGAGGCCACATTTAACTGCAATGCTGTGCCACCCCTCAGGCCAGTTCTACCCAAGACGCTAGGGGTGTCTTTCTCCCTCCCACCTACCGATGACACCGTGTATGTCCCCCAGGTGCGTGCTGTTATTGGGAGCACTTACATGCTGACTCAGGACGAGGTCCTGTGGGAGAAGGAGCTGCCACCTGGGGTGGAGGAGCTGCTGAACAAGGGCTACGACCCTCTGGCAGACAGGGGCCAGAAGAACTCAGCTAAGACCATTCAGTCCTCAGTTCCTCGGAACAAGACCCGTGTGGTCAGCTACCGTGTCCCGCACAATGCGGCCGTGCAGGTGTATGACTACAGGGCCAAGAGAGCTCGGTGAGCTGCCTGCAGCCCCCAGGGCACGGGTGAGGCTCTCTGTGGGCCTGACCTCCTCCTCCGCCCCCCCCCCTTGTGTCTGACCTCACGTCTCTCTTCAGTGTGGTCTTTGGGCCTGAGTTGGTGTCTCTGGATCCTGAGGAGCAGTTCACAGTGTTGTCCCTCTCCGCTGGGCGACCCAAGCGTCCCCACGCCCGTCGCGCACTCTGCCTGCTGCTGGGGCCTGACTTCTTTACAGACCTCATCACTATTGAAACAGCAGATCATGCCAGACTGCAGCTGCAGCTTGCCTACAACTGGTGAGGGCTGGGGAGCTGGGCGAGGGGAGCAGCCCCCAGGAGCCCCAAGGAAGAGAGATGCCTCCTAGCCAGGGCTGACACATGACTTGGTGCTCTGGTCCAGAGGGAAGCCAGGAACTTAACAAATCCAGGGAAGATGTGGCCTTACCTCCTAGAACCAGCATTGCAGGGACCCAGTAGCAGGTCACTACTGCAGCTAAACCCCCAGCATGTGTCAGCCAACTGCTTCCATGCAAGGGTATTAAAAGATTGATGACTCAGGACCAGTGGGAGTGAGTAGTGTGAACATGTGGCCAGATCACATGTACTGGAGCTGACTACTTGGGTCTGAGTCTCAGCCCTGCTGCTTGCTAGTTGTGGACCTATACAAGGGATGTGCTGCGTTCCTCAGTTTCCCTATTTGTAAAATGGGGATGACAACATTACCTATTCCACAGGGCTGTTGAAAGACTGCAATGAGAATTAGAAAGTGGAATGGGTATTGTGATACATGCCTGTAGTCCCAGCACTTGGAAGAAGGAAGCAGGAGGATCAAGAAGAGTTCAAGGCCAGACTGGGCTATATAGCAATAGACCCCATCTCATAAAAGAGAAAGAAGAACAGGGCAGGAGGCACAGCTCAAGGGTTAGAGCACCTGCCTAGCCAGTATGAGGCCCTGGGTTCAAATCCTAACACCAACGAAAAAAATTAGAAGTTACCCCAGGTATGGCTAAAGTGCCAATGACAGCTATTAGAATTAGGTGAGGGAGAGATGGAGAGATGTCATGTACAAAAATAATGCTGATCAACTCCTGAGCCTCACCTCTTGGCCATGATGAGGGTAGACAGGGTGGTGGCACATCCAGGGCACTGTGGTGTGACAGTTAAGAGCACAGACCTTAGGGCCTGATTGCTTAGATTTAGAGTTCTGACTTGCAACATACTGCATGACCTTGGGCCAGTCATTTAACCTCTCTGGACTTCTCTTTCCTCATCTGCAAAATGGGAAGAAGGCTCATCCCCATCTCCTAGGGTGGCAGAGAGGATTAAGTGGGAACAGGTGTTACATTTTGTAGGCCCTCACTGGACACAGCATTGTCTATTGTGGGACCACTACCCAGCCACAGAGATAGACATTGAAGTCCTTTTCCAGGAAAGCATCATTTCCTGGGGAAAATGGCTTCCCCACTCTGCACTTCTCTACTCACAGGCACTTTGAGGTGAGTGACCGGAAGGACCCTCAAGAGACTGCCAAGCTCTTCTCAGTGCCTGACTTTGTGGGTGATGCCTGCAAGGCCATCGCGTCCCGGGTGCGAGGCGCTGTGGCCTCTGTCTCCTTTGATGACTTCCATAAGAACTCAGCTCGCATCATTCGCACAGCTGTCTTTGGCTTTGAGACCTTGGAAGCCAAGGGCTCAGGTGGCATGGGCCTGCCTAAGCCCCGGGACCAGGCCGTCTTTCCCCAAAATGGGCTGGTGGTCAGCAGCGTGGACGTGCAGTCGGTGGAGCCGGTGGACCAGAGGACCCGGGATGCCTTGCAGCGCAGCGTCCAACTGGCCATCGAGATCACCACCAACTCCCAGGAGGCAGCGGCCAAGTGAGTGATGCCTGGGGACCCATCTCAGCCACTGCCAGGACCAGAGTAACATGGTGTCCACTAACGGTCTGCCTGACGCCATCCTTGTCTCTGAGGATCTCTACCTGCTGGGTAGCATGACCTACTTAAAGTGTGAATCAGATGTCACCCACAACTCTTTGCCTGTCACCCATTTTACTGCCTCCCAGGTGCTTGTGACTACGTGGAATCACCTTTGCTTGTTTTTTCTCACTAAAGGGTACAATGGGTAAAAGCAGGGCCCTCGAGCGCCCCTGCTTTCCCCAGGTCTAGCACAACACTAGGATTGGTTATGGCGCCATTCTGAGTGGAGTTGCATGTTGAGGTTCTGTATGACCTTGGTGCTCCAGTCCCAGCTCTGGCCCCATGCCAGCATCTTACTTGTCCCTACTCTCTCTTGTCCAGACACGAGGCTCAGAGACTAGAGCAGGAAGCCCGGGGGCGGCTTGAGAGGCAGAAGATCTTGGACCAGTCAGAAGCTGAAAAAGCTCGAAAGGAACTCTTGGAGCTCGAGGCTATGAGGTGGGTTGAGAGCTGGAGGAGGAAAAGAGGGCCGGGCGCCTGTAATCCTAGCTACTCAGGAGGCAGAGATCTGGAGGATCGCAGTTCAAAGCCAGCTTGGACAAGTAGTTTGCAAGATCCTATCTCAAAAATACCCATCACAAAAAAGGGCTGGTGGAGTGGTTCAAGGTGTAGTCCGAGTTCAAATCCCAGTACTGCAAAAGAGCCTGGCAAGGCAAAACCAAGGGTCTTGGGCAAGATGCTGGTAGAGGTAGTGGTGTGTGTGTCTGTGAGGGCCGGGGAGAGGCATTGGATGGTATAAATCAAAGTCCCAGTGAGGCATTCGGCAGGACTTTGTTTTTCCCTGGGCCTTACCCCACTCTGCTTCCTCATCCAGCATGGCGGTGGAGAGCACCGGGAATGCCAAGGCAGAAGCGGAGTCCCGCGCAGAGGCAGCGCGGATTGAGGGGGAAGGCTCCGTGCTGCAGGCCAAGCTGAAGGCGCAGGCCTTGGCCATTGAGACGGTAAGTTGGGAAGATGTCCAGTAGAAGGGTGTGGCTTTGGGGCCCGGAAGAGGCCCATTCATTACAGGCCCTGAAACCAGGTCACATACCAAGTCCCAAGCCCAAAGTCCTATTCTAGTACTCTGTGGCTTACAGTTGTTGCCCTGTCACAATGCATTTAGTATACCACGTTCCTGGAAGGCAAGCATTACCGTCACACCGTTCTATAGAAGAGTGCTCAGTATTGACCCCCTTTGTGCGGGCTCTTGCATGTGGTTTATGTACGACCTCATTTCTTGCTTAAAATCTCATCAAGGTAGGTGTCTCCTCCATTTTACACTGATAAGGACTCCCGTGGGTCACTAGCAAAATGGTGTCACAGCTAGGATTGGATTCACATGCTGCATGCTGCTGATCGAATGCTTACAACCCCATCTGTTGGCCTCAGTTCCCTTGGGCTTGCTGGCTCAGGTGACTTGCTGGTCAGTTCCCCAAGGCCACATGATCTGAAGCCAGTTGGCTTTCTTCCCTTCCAGGAGGCTGAGCTCCAGCGGGTACAGAAAGTACGAGAGCTGGAACTGGTCTATGCCCGGGCCCAGCTGGAGCTGGAAGTAAGCAAGGCCCAGCAGCTGGCTGAGGTGGAGGCAAAGAAGTTTAAGCAGATGACCGAGGCCCTGGGCCCCAGCACCATCAGGGACCTGGCCGTGGCTGGACCAGAGATGCAGGTGAGACTTGGGGGGCAAAGGGGAAGAGGTGGGAAGGGAACCAGCCTTGGAACCAAGGAAGCAAAAGATAAACACAGCGTCTAGGAAGATGTTGGGGGTAGAGGGAGTGAACTGTCCTGTGTCATGTGTCACTTAAGCATAGTATTGTGTTGTGTCAACACCAGGCACTGTACTAGACTCTGCAAGGAGCTGGTGCTGCTGGGGTGCGTGGTAAACAGATGGGATGTCAATCTGTGACCAGTGCTTTGAAGGAGGTCAAGCAGGGTGATGTGATGAGGGGGATAGCAGCTCTTCAGATCAGTGGGTTTAAGGAGGATTACGGTGCAACTTGGCTCACTAGAGACGCAGCCAAGGAGATGAGAGAAGTGACTGGTGATCGATCCCTTCTTCTTCCTCATTCCCTGCAGGTTAAACTGCTCCAGTCCCTCGGCCTGAAGTCAACCCTGATCACCAATGGCAACTCTCCCATCAACCTCTTCAGCACAGCCCTTGGACTGCTCGGGCTGGAGTCTGAGACTCAGCCTCCAGCCAAAAAGGCGCCTAAGGGGCTCAGCCCTGGGCAGGGCTTGCTTTTCCAAGCCCCTCCTGCCTCTCAGGCTCCTGCAAGCAACCAAGACATGCCTTAGCTCTGTCCTGCACTGACAATAGACCAATAAAGTGACACTTCTGGGCTTTTAGACCTGTTCCTGATGTCTCAGCCTGGGTCACAATGGGGACCTGATGGTGGAGGGAAGGTACCCTGAGATCTTGAGATGGCTATTGGAGACAGCGAGAAGACAGTACCAAAGTCACACTGATAGGAAATTGGCCCCCAAACCCTAGCAAGTCCTCTGTCCCTTAGGTACTCAGCTTTCCTAGACCCCAGGTAGGGGACATAATGCCACTGGGCGGGGTGGGGAAGCTGGCCAACTCAGGCCCTCTGCACTAGGGGATGGCTACTGCACTTGCACAACTCGCTGCCAGGTTCCTGGGGGAAGCCCAGCTGGCCTTGGGTCCTAGAGTCCCTGCAGGCAAAGCCGTCCCAGCCTCCCATTCCAAAACTCCCCTTTGACGCCATCTGCTGGTGACACAAGCAGCCCACAGCACCAGCAGGTGCGCCTGTGTTGTCAGGCTGGGAAGGAGGACTCTGTCCAAGGGTAGTAGGAACTGCAGCGCCCCCTGGGCTCTGGTCTGGCCTCTTCAGAAGCATCTAAAGGGTAGAGGACGGTCTTCCCACCCTCCCCCATAATTCCCCTTATTTGGGAGGAGGATCCAGGCAAAGTCTGAACAGAAGGGGAGTCTCAAGGGGTGCCAGCCCTTGGACCAGGTACAGTTGTAGGTACCAGGCCTGCTCTGATTCCACTGAAGAAGTAAAAATATGGGGGTGAAAAATAAAAAAAGAAGCTTGGGCTCATTTTCTGGGTGGCTAAAGAAGGCAACTCAACCTCTCTGATCGCTTATTCCCGTGGGCAAAATGGGCCAGTGGTTCCCCTCACTATGCAGCATGGGTCCACAGGACAAATATAATGATTTTTGTAAAGTCCTATTCCTTTTCTTCCACTGGGACCTGAACTCATGAGCCTTGTTTATTTCCAAGTTGAAGTGCATGTGCGTGGCCGATGGCTCTACTCAACTCAGCACGCTGAGGCCAGCCCTGGGTGGCGCTGTTTCAGCATCTGTGGAATGGGCATCTGAGTCGGCCCCTCCCCCACTCTCCTACGTCTTCCCTCCAGAGAGCTAATTCGATTAATTTAAAGTTCTTCATCTGGTGCCTGGCACCTGTTACGTGCTGCATGTCACCAAAGGCCTCTGGGGAAAAGTGACAAAGCAGGTAAGCTGTACATGCTGAGCATGTCCTTCCTGTCTGGGCCACCTGTTCCCGTGCCATCCCTTGACCTGCTTAACATTGCAATAACCTCAACTCAAGGCTTCAGTGACGAGGACCCCGGCCATCTTCTCAACATCGACAGCCCACCCCCATTCATGACAGTCTCGCCTGACCTGTCCGTGTAATTCACTCTCGAAACGAAACCCCCTTAACTCCCTCATTCATCTGTCCCTCCTCGTGATACTTAATGAGAAAATAAAAAGTATCCTTTTTTTTTTTTTTGGAGACAGAATCTCATTACGTAGCCTAGGCTGGCCTCCAACTTAGGATCCTCCTGCCTCCGCCTCCTGAATGCTGGGATTACAGGCATGCAACCATCCATCAGCTGTTCATCCCTTCTTAAACCACCTCCCTCCCTCCTTGTTCCCGCCCCGGACCAGCTTGTGGCTGGAGGAGGGATATTCCATGGCGCTGACAGGTCTCATTTTAGAATCCTGGCCACAAACCTCCAGAGAGGCTCACTTCCTCTGACTGCTTCTCTATCTTGTGTGAGATGCTCTCCCTTCAAAACAACTATTCACACCTCCTTCTTCTCAGCCTCCTCCTCCCCTGCCCACTTTTTCTCACCTCTTTGAGAAAATAGAAGCAAATTGAGTGGGAAGGTTCTTTCTTCCCTAGAAGCAAATCCAGGCATAGGCATCTGGCCTCTGGCCTTACTCCTGTTCCCAAGGACCCAATGCCCATCGCCTGCACCAGCAATTTTTTCCTTTCTAGGTCACTGTCACTTGTATGTAAACATGCTCTGCTTTGTGCCACATAAACAAGTAAACACTCCCTGAATCTACTGTTATGTGCCAGTGTGAAGTGTTGTGGGCTGGTGTCGAGGGTCCTTGCCTTCACAGGCCAGGGAACTGACTTGTGAGTCAAAGCTGGTATATGAAGTAGGATTTATTAGGGAGAAAGGAAAGGCCACAGCTAGAGCAGTGGGGCACAGCCCAGAAACCAGTGGCTCCCTTCTCAGGTGAAGGCTGGGGTTTTTATGGACGTTTTAACTCTGGGTTTGGGTAAGGGTTAGGTGGGTTCTTTTCATTGGCTGTGGATTTGAGGGCTTTCTTAGATGACCTGGTCTGTTTGCCTCTTATTGAGGGTGGGGCAACAATCTTGAGAGCATTTTGCTCATCAGCCCTGTGGCAGATCTATGAGACCGTGTATCACCTCTTCAGGGTGCAGAAGGTTGTGGTACTTGTCCCAGGGGTTGACCCATGTAGTCTCCAGAGGCCCCCGATAGAACTGGACAGAGGGCTCATGCGTAGGCAGAGGTGAGTATTCCTTGACTAAGAACTGGAATTTGATCCGTTGGACCTGTTGAGATATGAATCTGGAGATAGCATTTATTATACAAGGCCCAAATAGGCGCATTAGAAGGAGCATAAAAAGTGGGCCAGCCAGAGGTAGTGCCCAAGGAGCCCAGCCCCGTATGTGGTTCCAGAAGGACCACGAATTGGCCAGCTCTTGTCTCCTTTTTGTAATGCGTTCTCTTACCTGTCAGGCCACATCTCTGACTACCCCAGATGTTAGTATAAAAGCAACATTTCTCGTTTAGGAAAAGGCATGGTCCACCCTTTTCAGCAGTTAATAGGTCAAATGCATGCCTATTTTGGAGCACTACTGATGCAAGTGAATCTACCTCGTCTTGTGAAGCCTCTATGGACTGAGTGACCCATTCTATGTCATTAGTAAATTCTGTTGACAGATTCGATAAGTATGGACTGACGAGATGTCCCAATGCCAGTACCTGTTCCAGCTGTGATCCCCATAGCTATCAGTAGGGGAATGACTTGGATAGCTTTCTTTGATCGAGTGTAGGCCTTTAGAGGAATAGGAAGGGACTGGTTACCAGGATGACATCAATTTGTGGGGTTAGGAGAGCCTTAGTACAGGTTCCCTTCCAGTCAGGAGGTAGGCAAGTGTAAGCGGCAGTTCCACAAACAAAATAATTTCCAGGAGAAAACAAACACTGAGTGTCATTTGTTGACTGTGTGATATTGATGCAAAAGTTTTTGGAGATTTCCCCCAGTGGAATTGACCCCTGTAAACTTTGGAGGCACTGGGGAGGAGGATGGGTTAGTTCTATATTGGTAATATTAGGTTTTGTTAAGGGAGAGTTTATTACCTGGTGAGACCTCAAGTCCATGGGGGTTGCCAATATCTGTGGAAGGCTTGGAGAGACAAAGCCAGAAATCCTCAGCCAAAGTGGGGTTTGTAGAGTTTAAAATATGATGGGCAGAGCTGAGGAACCTGTACAGCTGGGGATCTAGATTTATAGGTGGCTGAGGCTGCAGAGATTTTATTGTTCTTCTGGGAGGGGGGAGTGGGAAGTGAGAGTCTCCATCGTACGTAGTTTACTTGATCCTCATGTGACATGTCAACCAGTATTTCAACTTTTGTTTTTATAGTTTCCTTTGCTTTTTTATTTTCTCCCTCTCTCTCTCCTTCTGTGGCCAACAGACCCACTGGCCTGCTCTCCCGAGGCATGCTGACAAAGCCTGTGCCTAAGGCCTTTCCATATAGTTGTCCAAATGAAATCTAAAATACAGAAATATAAAGTCCTGATGTCCTCCTGGGCTCTTTAGGCTGCCCCATCTGCTTTCTGCCTCATCTCTCACCAGCTACACACCCCAATACTTGGTGTCTAGCCACGTTATCTAGACCTATTTCAACATCTGCAATTCCCTGGGTGCTCTCTGACCCCCTGAATTTGTTAAGTCATCCCTCAGGTAAGAGCACCAACTTCCCTTCCCAGTACCTGCCAGCTTTTTACTTAATGTACCCACTCTGCTGGGCATGGTGGTACAAACCTGTAAATCCCAGTATTCAGGAGGCTTGAGCAGGAGGATCAGGAGGTTGAGGCTAACCTGGCCTACACAGTAAGACCCTGTCTCAAAAAAATAAAATAAAAAGGGAAGGGGCCAGGCGCTGGTGGCTCACGCCTGTAATCCTAGCTACTCAGGAGGCAGAGAACAGGAGGATTGTGGTTTGAAGCCAGCCTAGGCAAATAGTTCATGAGACCCTATCTTGGAAAACCCCATCACAAAAGAGGGCTGGTGGAGTGGCTCAAGGTATATGTCCTGAGTTCAAGCCCCAGTACTGAAAAAAAAAAAAAAAGTGGGAGGAAGGAAAGGTGGCATTTCCTTCCCCCACTAGCTGCATTATTTTGCTCCCGCCCATGACCTTCAAAAGGGTTGGGATGCCACTTGTCTACTTCTCATGGATCCTTGGGCCAAGCACAGGGGTTGAGGCCCAATACACATCTGGATTTCAGCTCTCCTAGATGGGGTGTGTGACTTGGCTGAGCTGTTATAAGGATGAAATGAGGAACATCTATCAAGAACCTCAGCATAGGATCTGGTGCATGCTAGGCCTAACATAATCCTTTTTTTTGTTTGTTTGAGACAGGGTCTTGTGGCCCAGGCTGGCCTCAAACTTTTTTTTTGGTACTGGGGTTTGAATTCAGGGCCTACACCTTGAGCTGCTCCACCAGCCCTTTTCGGTGATAGGTTGTCTCTAGAAAGGGTATCCCAAACTATTTGGCCCAGGTTGGATTTGACCCAAGATCCTCCTGATCTCTGCCTCCTGAGTAGCTAGGATTACAGGTGTGAGCCACCAGCACCCTGCTGGGCCTTGAACTCTTGATCCTCACTATGTAGTCCAAGATGGCCTACAACTCTCAATCCTACTGCTTTACTCACCCAAATGCTGGGATTACAGATGTGAAACACCATGGTCAGCTCTTCCATAAGTTTAAAAAGAAAGCTGAGGGCTGGTGGAGTGACTCAAGTTGTAAGAGTGCCTGCCTAGCAAGGGTGAGGTCCTGAGTTCAAACTCCAGTGCCACCAAAATAAATAAATAAATAAAATAAAAAGAAAGCTGATGTCAGCACTGTGGTATGCACCTGCAGCCCCAGCTCAGGAGGGCTGGCGTGGGAGGAGCTTTTGAGCCCAGTTGGAAACAGTCTCAAAAAATTAAAAGAATCACCTGGAGTTTATTCAAGTTACAGAATTCTGGGTCCATCCCTGGAGAGTCTGAAGATCTAAGAAGTTGCATTTTAAGAAATACTGTATAGGTGGTCTGAAGACCACGATCTGAGCAAACTGATGTTTTTAGTAATATTTATTAAGCAGCTACTCTAAGCCAGGTTAGTCTTCATTCTAGGCATGGAAAAAAAAAGCAATCCTGTGCTCTCCTGGAGGTTACATTCTAGTGGGGGTAGAAATATCAAGAATACAAATAAAAGCAGCCAGGGTCAGCCAGCGGCAAAAGCATATGGGAAGAGAGGACTCATCATGAGCTAGGATGGCAGGAAGGGTCTCTCTCTGAGGTCACCTTGGAATGACAGGAAGGAGCCAGATAGCAAACTGGGGGAAAACCATCCAGGTAGACTTTCCCTTTTTCCTAAGCTCCTCCCTTAACCCAGGCCATGATCCAAGATTGTCTCAAAGGAAACCAAGTCCAGAAGAGTGATGCTCCCACCTTTATTATGGAAACTTCCAGAGCCAGGGTAGAGTGGACAGAGAGGGCCGCTGTGGGGAAGGATCTAGATGGCCTCTTCTCTCCCGAGCATGGCACCCAGTCTTCCTCCGGCCAAGGGCAGAGGTCTGACTCCCCTGCCTTTTGGGAAACCCGGCCCTACACCATCTCCCTCATTCAAGCATCCCTAAAATCTCAGGCCAGGACAGACCCCAGGGCTGAGCTGGCAGGGCATGTGACAATGCCCAGTCCTCAGACAGGCCTCCTGGAGCACCAGCTGTATGGGTTGGACCTCCTGAGCAGCCTTCCTGATTTGTAGCCCAAGTCCTTGGGGTCACAGGCATGGGCCTGGACCTCAGGTTTTCAGAGATCATGATGACACCAAAGAGAGGCTGACCCCCACCCCACCCTTCACATTAGGAAGATGTGAACCTGGGACCCCTTAGGACGGGGAGGGAAGCCATGTGGCACAGTGAGATGCCCAGGCAGGTGGGCAGCCAGGGACTGGAGGTTCTGGGATCACTTCTTCTTGGCACGGTCTGCTGCATCCAGGGCAGCCATGTTGCGGGCAGCTGTGATGAGGTGGATGACACTGATGACGGACTTGAGAAAGGCAATGGGGGCTGTGATCCAGAGGCCCATTCGGAAAAGTCCTACAGAGCCAACTATGGGGAGAGGGAAAGGGAGATAGATTGAAAGAGGGATCGAGAACAAGGGATCAAGGGTTACAGATGCCTGAAGCCTTTATCTCCCCAGGCAGGATATGATGAAGCCCCCTCCAGCCCTCTGGCCCAGCCTGTCCCCTCCTACCTAATGGTCCTTCGGAGAAACTGAACAGGTAGAGGAGGCAGTAGAAGAGCTCATTTCCAGCACACAGAGTGAAGAGGGCAGGCTGCGCACAGAGCAAAGACTGCTTAAGAGGAGGCAGGGCCGGTGCCTCCCACACCCACACCCCGAAAGACACCCACACTGGGTACAGTAGCCTCAGCAGCTACTTGTCTTCCAGGCAGGTTAAAGTTCACACTCTGCCCTCCCCTTCCCCACCTCTCTGGCTTATCTCTCCCTCCCTCCCTTCTCCCTCCAGTCACAGCTCTTCCCCCTGGATGCACAGGGGCCTTGATTCCAGATCCCACCACTGCTTCAAGGACTCGCACAGAGACCACCACCTTCCTCCATCATGTCTCAGCCCACAGGCTGCTCCTCCCTGTTCTCTGCCACTGTGCCGTTTCTGACCTGGGGCCAAGGTTCAGCCCATGGCTTAGAGGGGCAGGAAATACTCACCCTGGAGGTGTAGTAGATACGAAGCACTGGATTCCCAGACAGGTCGATCATCTTGTGACTCTCACTGCCTCGCACCACAGAACTTGGGGAGAAAATTGAGGGGAATTGCATGAGTTTCTGTTGCCTCTAACATCCATCTAATTCTCCCAGGTACCCTAAGGATTAGCACCAGTTACCAGGATTGCCTCTAGTGCACAGGATTCAAATGCCCTGGTGACCCTTCCTATGAGCTGTCCCCTATCCTACTTGGAACCCTACATCATCCAGCCAGAAGGGTTTTAGGAATTGCCTAATCCAACTGTACACATGACAGGGCTTGCTCAGGGTCATCAACAAAGCACAAAAACTTAAAAGGAAATCTCCCAAGAAACCAGAAGCCATCCCAACACCCTCCCACCACAGTGTCTTCAACTGGTTGGCACCCCCCCCCCCAATCAAAGCGGACCTGTGCAGGTGCAGCCAGTGACTGGCCACATCCAAGCTCATGCTGAGCTGGAAGAGAAGGGTGGCTCGAGGGTACAGCAGGGCCAGGTTGACTAACAGACACATGGTGGCACAGCGGTCTGTCAGCATGTCCAGCATGGCTCCAAATCGGGTTCCTGAAAAAATACAGACTATTAAGTGGGAGGGGGTTATTAGGGGGCAGTCATTCCACCACAGTATCTGATGTATCTAAAAGAAGGTTAACAATGTCCACCATCCACTGCCTGGCAGGGAAAAGAGAATGCCATCAGTAGGGGTGAGGCCAGTGGGCCAGGTTACAGGACATGAACAGAGAAGGTATTGGGATGTGGAGAAGATAAGTGTTGGGGGCGATGGAAAAGCTGTATCTCCAACTCCTCAAACCCAGAACCAAGTCCAGGGTGAGGCAAATCCACTTGAAGTCTTAGGGGAAGGAAGTCTTAGTCTGGAGAGCAGATTAATGGATTTGTGAGCTCTCAAGAAGCCATCTGCTTCCCTTCCCACTTCCCTCTCAATCTGCCTTGGGAAATCCCAGTTGCACACAGTAGGCCCTTAGCAAACACCTGTTGAATATAATTTATTCAGCGAGACCTCTAGCATTGCGGGAGGGGGCTGGGGGATGTCCAGTCTTGCTCTTCCTCCCCCCTCACCGAGAGAGCTAGTTTCTGCTACAAACTCAGGCTCCTACTGGTCCACCTTTTTACAGAGATGTGAACGACAGAGTCATCTGACTCCGAGGTCCTTAGGAGGCAAGGAAAGGGACAAGGGGTTGTTGGGCCCCAAGGCTGGTTGGTAGGGAGTGTCTGTCACCTTGATTAAGGGCTCGAGCAGCGTGTCCATCGAAAGCGTCCAGAAGCCCGCTGAGCAGATAGAAGGAGGAGGCCGTGAGGGGGCAGCAGGGCATGAAGTAGAAAGAAATGATGGCGAAGACAATCCGGGCATAACCTTGGAATGGGACCGGGGGAGACAGTACGGGATCAGGGAAGCCTGCCCAAGGCCCCTCGCCCTCCTGTTCGTCCCGGGGCCGTAGACAGCACTCACCGATGAGGTTAGGCACGAACAAGAAGATATTTTCGCCTGGCATCGCGGCGGCCCCCTTGTCGTTCGGGTGCGCTCTGGAGGGTATTAGCGCTGTCCCAGCCCCACCTACGCGGCCTCACCCTTCCGCCCGGCACATCGGCTGAGTCACCTGCTTGCTGGACCCCGCTGCCCCCGTCCGGCCCCAGATGTTAAAGCTTGTAGCAGGTGGGACATGGGCCGACCAGATGTGCGCGGGGCACAGGGGGCGCGCACACCCCGCCCTTGCGATGGCAGCCCCTCGCCTACGCGGGTCCAGCAGGAGCTCCCACTTCCAGCAGCGATCCCTGCTGCTCCAGCTGTGTTCGGCTTCTGGGAACTACTCTTTTACCAGCGTCGTTAAAAAATTGGAGAAAGGAGAAAGCAGCTTAAAAAAAAAAAAATGTCTGTGGCTCCTTTAAGACCTGCCCGCTTCCTTTTCCTTCTCCTGCCTCCGCCCCTTTGCATCGGCTCGTACCAAAGCACAGAGGGAGAGGTAGCGAAGAATCATTTGCGCCAAGCAAAGGAGGGAACTAAAAAGGAAGGAGAAAAAGAACAGAAGGCCAAAATGAAAGTCTCTACTTTTCTTTATACGGAGGCTATAACTGCCTTGAGTCAAAGATGAGGCGGTGAGATTCCGCCCTCCTGAGTCTTCGCCTCCCCGCGAGACCTGGCCACTTAGTACAGTCCACATTTTTCTTCCCCGCCCAAGTCTCTGGCCTGGTTTGCTCTTGCCCGCTCCAGGCTGGCAAGTGGCGGCTAGAGAGGCCGAAGAGCGGCCCAGGGCGGGGTTGCTTCTTGCTTCTGGGACCCCCTAGTGGTGGGAGGAATAGGTCCCAAGCGCCACCCTGCGTCACCTCCCAGACTTCTCAGTCTCCTAGCGCTGGGGTTACAGCCCGAAGAGCAAACGCGACATGCTAGGAAAATTCCTTTGTCTTTGATTCTAGAACCTCTCATCTCCCAGCAACAGGGCTATAGAACCTCCGTAAACACTAAGTTTTTATAGCAACGGGAACACTCCGCCCTGGCTCCCCCTTTCCAACTTTCCTCCCCACCTCCGACTCCCCGTTCCCCACGACCCATAATAGGGTCCCCTTAAGTCCTCTCCGTCTCCCCTCCTACCGGTTAGCCCAAGATTTCGACCCATCTGCCAGGTCGGGGCGGCAGGTTGGCTGCCTTGGCTTGGGAAAGTCCTTGGGAAGAAAGAAGGAAGAAAAGGCTTTCTGGGTGAAATGGGGGGAGGGAGAGGATGATTTTGGAAGCCCTCTCCCTCCAAAAGTATAAGGCACAGAAATTTTTTTTTTTTTTTTTTTTTTAAGAAAGAGAGAACTGAGACGTGGTGTTTTGTCTGAAGGCCTTGATTAAACCTGGGCTCTGCGGGGAAGTGGGCTGGTTTTTCAGCCTCATGCAAGCTTCAACTGTTCCCAGGGGGATGGCATCCACTCCCAACAGAAATGAGGATAAAAAGGGCAGCTGGCCGGTGAGCATGGAGGGAGTTGTAAGGGTGATGAGGTGAAGAGTCCTCTGGGCAGGGCGCCCAGTCGGGGATCTGAGCTCTGAGTAACCAGCCCTGAGTCTCCATCTTGATCCTGAGGCCCCCCACAGACTGCTCCCCCAGGTCTAGGGCCTTCTGGACAAACCTCAAAGCCCAATCCTTCAATATCATACTCCTCAGCCCCCAATCCCCCAGCCTGGGAGCTCCAAGACCCAGGGCTCCTAGGCAAGGAGGGGATCCCAGGCTGAGCTTATAGCCTTATCCTTTCCCAGAAGGTTTCATTATCTCGTTCTGAGGAATTCCTAACCCGGATCAGCACAGAACTCACAGATGAGGCCTTGTTTATTGCTCACTGCTGCATGAACCCTGTGCCCATCAAGGAAAAGCAGACAAAAGATCAAGCAACGCAGATATCCAGACATGGTGACTCCCCTTCAGGACCCTCTGTCTAGAGACCCTTCCATATGCCTAGTTCCAATTCCTAACCCTCTCCCAGCCATAGGAATCTATGCTCATGTCTCCCACCTCAGTGCCAGCATAGACTTCCTACCCACTAACCCGGTCCCCACTCGTGTCACTGCTGGCCAAGAATTCCCTCAGCCCCTTTTGCCTTAGCCACATCTCTTTCTGACCATGAGGATAGGATTTCTCTAACTGGGGCTTCTATTTTCAGCATTCTTCACTAAGACCCGAGGCACAGACACCCGGTGAGTAAGGCTTTGTCCTAGGAGAGAGGTGAGGTGCCTGTAGGGGAGAGAGAGAGGGTTTGACAACATCCCAGCAGAGTCGAGGAAGTTTTGAACCCACAGTAATATTCTATTCTGCCCTTCTCCTCAAACTCAGAGTTCTTAGCCTTCTCCCTTCTCTTCTTCCATCTCCAGGTCTGACAGAAACCGTATTCAAACCAAGACACACCTCTTGCTGTCCCCTCATGAAAAGGTGTGTACAAGACCCATTCAGCATCAACTAGACATTCACTTTGCACTACATGACAGTCCCTGTGATAGGCTGTTGGGACGCAGAAATGAATGATATAGTCTCAGCCCTTGAAGAATTCAGTTTAGTGTAAAGACAAAGAAGCAAATGGTCAATTACAATAAAAAATGGGTGAGTGCCCATAATAGAATGGGAAAAATGAGGGCTGGTAGAGTGGCTCAAGTGGTAGGGCACCTGCCTTGTAAGTGTGAGGCCCTGAGTTCAAACCCCAGTACAGCAAAAAAAAAGAAAAAAAGAAAGAAATGGTAACAATGAGAACACTATTTATACTCCAGTCTCAATTGGAACAGGAAGGAAAGGAATCATGGAGCTTCCTGAAGGAGGAGACATCTAAAGAAAGAACTTCCCAGCAAAACAAAGGATGGTAGGGGTATTCCACACAGTAAGGACTGTGTGATCAAAAGTACAAAGATGAGTCTTAGTAGAGTGAGTGTGGGTGGTGTGTATAGCTTAACTGTTGGTGTATGTAGGTAAGATAGACAGAAACTAACCAAGAGAGCCCTGTGTGCGCCTTCAAAGATCCATAGATGTTTTCGTATAGATGAGGAGCCGCAGAAGAGCTTGAGCAAGGGAGGTAGGAATTTTAAAGCAGTCACTTTGGGGTGGAAACTGGAGGCATAGAGCACTTGCTTGGCATGCATGAAGTCCTGGATTCCATCTCTAGCACTGAACATTAAAAAAAAATTCAAGCTGGGCATGGTGGTGCATACCTGTAATCCTAGCCACTCAGGAGGCAGAGATCAGGAGGAATGTGGTTTGAGGCTAGATTGGGCTTAAAGTCCTCAAGACCCTATTTAAAGCAATAAAAGCTGAGTGTGGTGATACATGCCTGTTACCTCAGCTGTGAGGGAAATATAAATAGGAAGATTGTGGTCCAGCCCCAGCTGGTATAAAACCAAGACCTTATTCAAAAAATGACAAAAGCAAAAAAGGAATGGGGGTGTGGCTCAAGCAGTAGAGCATCTGCCTAGCAAGCACAGAGGCCCATCCTAGTACCACCAAAAAAAAAAAAAATGCATCTGGACACGATGGTGTATACCTATAATCCCAGCACTTTGGAGGCTGAAGCAGGAGGACTGTGAGTTTGAGGCCAGCCTGGACTACATAGTTAGACCCTGCCTCAAATAAAAAGTTAGGTGTAACAGTGGATGAGTAGACGGGGTGCAGGAAAATTGGAAAATGATAAATAGATAAATTTATCAAACATGTATTAAGCACTTACTGTGTGCCAGCACCATCCTAGGGAATGGAATATAGCAATTAGCAAAATAGAATCCCTGCTTTCAAGAAATGTAAATGGGGTTGGGAGAATAGATAGAAGAGACGAGTGGGTAGGTGGATGGGGAAGGGCTAGTTGGATGAGCAGATGGATGGATAAGGAGTGATGGATAGATTTGTGGGTGGATAGTGGAAGGAGAATGTGGGCGGCGGGGTAGAGGGAGCGTTGAATGAATGTGGGTAGATTCACGCTGTGTGAAGGATGGACGGAGAACTAGAGCCCAGGGTCTAAACAGTCAAAGGCTGTTTCTGTCTTCCAGGGAGTTCTGCTCAACAGCTTGAAAACTGGATGGTGAGGCCAGCCCTCTTAGACCCTCCCCCACATGGTCCTTCTAGAACATGCTCGAAGCTCCTCTTTTGCAATGTGCTAAACACTTCATTCTGGGGGGACACTCCTGGTCATGAGCAACATCACCTCTGAAGCCAACAAAGTGTTCTGGAACTATCGAGGGACTCTCTACCAGGAAGGACACCACGCGGCAGAGAAGGCTTTAATAAAGAGCCAGGGATCCTCCCCTCCTGGCAGCTCTGGCAGTGCTCTGGTGTGGCTTCTCTGGGGTGGAGGTGCAGGAGGAGGTGTCCTCTTTCCAGATGTGGATGCTGAGTCTGGGCGTTATCCAAGGCCAGTTCTCTATCAACCTCTTGGCAGAGGTGGGCTCGTGGAATCAAACCCAGCCTCCCAGCCAATCTCTAGCACCTCACAGCTAGGGCTGTGGGCTCTAGCAGCCACTCCTGCCCTGAGAAGCAATCTCACTGCCACCCTTGGTGCTGAAGACCCTGATCCACCACTTCTTCCTGATGTTTCGGGGCTCAGGCCTATGGAACATACTATACCATTACCAGCTAGAAATCCATGCAGTCAGCTGTGTGGCGTTTGTATTTCAATCCTAACAAGACTCAGTTTCCTTATCTGAAAAGTGAGAATAATAAACTATCCTGGTTTCAAAGGATCCTTATGAGGGTTGAAAAAACATGATGTATACAAAGGGCATGGTGGTACACACCTGTAATCCCAGCACTCCAGAGTCTAAGACAGAGGCTCAACAGTTTAAGGCCAGCCTGGGCTACATCATAAGATCCTAACTCAACAAACAAAAATGGACTGGGGGTGTAACTCAAGTGGTAGAGCACTTGAGCAAGAATGAGATACTGGATTCAATCTCCGGCATTGAAATAAGTAAAAGCTGTAAATTGCTTATGATGTTCAAAAGTAGTGTGAGCCTTATAAGAAGAAAAAGTGCACCCTTAAGCTCATTCTTCCTAGACACATTAGAGCAGGCATGCTTAAACGATCAAAAAGCCAGGTGTGGTTGTGCACACCTGTAATCCCAGCACTTGGGAGGCTGAGGCAGGAGGGCTGACAGTTCAAGGCCAGCATGGACAACACAGGAAGACCCTGTCTCAGAATGTGAGAGAGAGAGAGAGAGAGAGAATAAAATGCCAAAAAGATACTTGAATAGATATAAATATTCTCAAAAAGAGGTTGAATTTTAAGGAAATTGGTCATGAAACAAATGAAAAGCTATCTCTCACCAAGCAATTGGGGGAGGGCAGGGGTTGCTGCTGTCAGCTCTTCCGGCTGGGAGAGGCTGGCAATGTCAAGACCTGGAGGGGAGATAAATTGTCCCAGCCAGTTCTCTGTAGAG